ATATGCATGCATATATAAGCTAAGAAGTGCCAGGTTCCATTTCTTCTTAAGAAAATAAGTGGGAAGTAGCTTTCTTCACAGTAGGAATCAGATTTGTATTTTAAGACTGCCCAACTGGTAGAGTCATTTCCATTAAACTCTTAATTAAATGAAAAATGGGGAAAACTCATTTGCTTGAGTAGTACAAGGTCAGAACGTTCACAATAAATGTCTAAAAGACGAGATGGAAATGGCTGAGGTTTTTCTCCAAATTCCTCTTTGAGTTTAGCATGATGTGCTTGGAACAGTTCTGCAAACTGCAGTAGCATCTGCAGATAAGCACATGTCCGTCACTTAAGCTTAATTCATGAAAGGCTCGTTCATTTACTGGTTCAGCTTTCTAATATTTATTGCCAAATTGCTGTGTAAGGTCCATGTGCATTTACCCTTGAGTGCTTTCCACTGTTTTTTCTGTATTGCCATAATATTGTTCCTTCCAAGGATGCTTGTTATAATTTTCACTATTTGCAAATGACTTAATGTGGTGCTAAGCCTTTTTAGATACCTATCACTAGAACAAGATACTGCTCGAGGCAGACAAATTAGTCTTATAAACCAGATCCTAACCCTATAATGATCCAGACCAAATACCATCCTAAGACTCCATCACGTCGAGCCCTGAAGGCAGAGATGCCTAGTATCTCTGTTATGATGCTTGATACACGCTGGTTTCAGGTCTCCCATGAGCTCAGTAAAGCTAGTTACCTTAAAATGAGGAAAGTTTTACCTTCCTGGATGAATGACTACTTTTCAAGCTAACATCCCTTTATTAAAATAGATGTATTTGCAGAGATGCTTCAGCTGCAGCCATACTTGTCTCCATCTGCACACAGAATGACGTTCATATGCCTCTCCCTGCAGCTCGTCCTCTGCAGGGCAACAGGACCCCTGCTGAGAACCACTTCCATTACTGTCTTCTCTCTCCTCCTTTCTCTGGCTATCTAGAATTAGGGATTTCACTGCACAGCTCCCCCATATCCATAGCACTTCTTGCTTCTTCCTTTCAGTTGGATAGGAGAAGTCAATAAAACTCAAGTTTAGCAAGCTGCTCCTTGTCACTGTAGGAGCTCTGAGAAGAGAGCCCAGCAAGCTGCACAGAAATTCTTCACATAAACTGAGTCAAACCCAACAACAATCAAAATGTAATTCTTTAACAGAAAGTTGCATTTTTAAGATTACACCACTTTTGAAAATTCAATCCTTATCTTCTTAAGGTATGCAATCTGTCTAGATTTTACAAGATTCAGTTCCAGGGAAAGTTTTTGCCTTCATCTCCTGACCTTTCTTATTCTGTTTCTGAGAGATCAGAAATTAAATAGTCTAAAAAGCAGGCAAGAAAAAAGAAGGCCAAAGGAAATTTTGTATCGACAATGGGGATTTAGGATGTATTTTCTTTTTGAAACTATTTGCATTAAATGTTTTTAAGACTATGGTAATTTGAAATAGCAAAAGAAGGGGAATTCCAAATATCTGACAATTTTAAGTAGCTGAAGTCTAACTTAACAAAATGTACAGCCTTGTTATATACCTAAATACCTGATGAAATACCTAGTAAATACAAACTTGCTTTATATATCTTAACAGATGTTGAAAAGCAAGGAGAATTTGTCAGAAGGCTGAGAAGTAATGGATATCTGAAAACAGACTGATTTTTAACTACTCAAGTTTAGAGTAGCCCCTTTTTTGATTTCATTCCAACAAAAGGTAATGTGTATATGACCTCTCTAGATCAATGGAGTTAGTTCCGCTTTTCATCTCTGCACGTAAAAGCAGACTTGGTTATTCTCCATGGAGAGAAATGCTCGTGGGTGCTTTTGTGACCATTTTTGCCCTGCAAAGTCAAGTATCTACATTTGTGTGTTTCATGCAGTTGTGATAATTTTCTGAAAATTATATAATACATTTTAAAAATAAAACCCTTGGTAAGGCAGGCCATATCTGCAGGGTCTGAATGTGAAACTTCTACGCTTGAATTACTGTGAACTTTCAAAATCCATTCTAATTGTCCATGTTTTAAAAAGGCATTCTATTTCTCAGTGTAGTTACAAGTAGGGACAGATGCAATTTTGCTGGTGTCCTTGCTGTATCAAGTCTCTCTTTAGTTACTTCGTCCTGAAGAGTGTTCTCACAACTTACTGGCTGTGAGAAATGCATGTTACTTGTCCCTGGCGTAGACAACCTGTGTAAGAACTGTTTATCATGGCATGAATTCAAGTACTAGAAGTTTTTGCTTCTGTGCTTGGTATTGCCTACATTTTACTGTCACACGGATTCCTTTGTACCCTATCAATCTTTCTTGTCAGTAAGAATGTGTAACAGGTAAGTCCCAACATAAAATTACGTGCTCATAAAATGTTAAGTGTAATAATAACTATTAGACAAATTTTGCCTTTATGTGTAGATCTTTTTTTTAGGATGCATTTATGAGCAGAATCTAGCACAATATTGTTTCTAATGAAGCAGTTCTTTGCATCTTCATGAACACCTGGGATAAGGATTTTGAACTCAGCGACGTGCAAAATGAATGGGAGTTGGACATCCAAATTTCTCAGGCAGTAGTGAAAACCTCAGATGCAGTGTTTACTCAGATGGCTTACCAGTTGTGTTGGAAAATGCCTTGTTGATAAGTGTGGTTTTTTTTTTTTTTAATTACTGTTTCAGACATTTACAGCCTGGTGCAATTCCCACCTCAGGAAAGCAGGCACACAGATTGAGAACATTGAGGAGGACTTCAGAAACGGCCTCAAACTGATGCTCCTCTTGGAAGTTATCTCAGGTTGGCTAAAATAAAGTTTGCTATATATTTACAGCATGCTAACTGAAACAATCTTAAAAGAACAGAACGTGTTAACAATTCAAAACAGTGAACACAAACTCTAAGTAGGCTAAAAAGTGAGAGATGAAGCACACTGTAAAACAAAAGGGAGGGGAAAAAAAAGCTCTGCTTTTTCCTTATCTCCAAAATCTTCTGTTTTATGCTTGTGTTCCAGGATATCACAGTGTATCAGGGTATCACTGACATCACAGTGTTGTTGGACAAACCACAAACATTAAGGACCTGGTCTTAGCCCCTAACAATTAAAAACCTTTACACTTAGGTTACAAATTCATTTTATTCCACTTTTAGTATAAAAGTTTTGCTTTGCTTTTAATGACTTTATTGGATGGACCAATGCTTCCAAAAGTGAGTGCTTAAAGTAAAGCTAGATCAATATTTAATCACAAGTAAAAGGTCTCATTTTTCAGAAGGGTGGAACATCCAAGAACTCCTTTTGATTAAGTGATGTAAACTCACTATGGCACCCATTTTATGTGGGCAGAGGGGCAGTCCCCAAGGTACACTCAGAATGCCCCTGAATGGGAGGGGAATAGCTCAAGTTACAGAGACACAATAAAGTTGAAAAGGGGAAGAAGATTTTTAAGACATCTCTATGGAAAATACAGTTTACATTTTTGCTGGAGATTTCAGTGGGGAAAGAAGATCTTCAAATGATCACTCTTCATGGAATAGAGTCATATTGTGAGAAATTACTCTTCTTTGCGATCATTTGAAAAGATAAGTTCATTCAAAACACATCAGCTTATGCTCTGAAAATAGCTGCTCTGCTGTACTGGATGAGGTTGTTAAAAGCCATTGTTCTCGGTCAGATGAGGAAGGATGCTATGGCTAATCTCCTGGGTAGAGTCCAGCCTCTCTTTAGTGTCTGGCAGGTAAGGGTGATGAGCTCTGAGACCATCCTGCCGTCTTAATATTCAGCTACATAACACAGACAGTAGCAACGAACCAGAAGTTGAGTAGCAGGAAGTACTCACGTATCTTCCAGATGTTTAGGGCAAACATAAAAATTTTACTCTGGCTTTACAGCTATATCAGAAAGATGTAAACCAGATGTTTCAAAATTTGAATTTTCTCTTCAGGGTTTTGTTCAAAGCCATTTGACATTCTTTCAGAAAAATACCTGTTAAAATAGCCGCTAACTTTTAGACAATGTTAAGGGCACATTTGCTCTTGAGTTTTAATCACTTGGATGTCTGTAGCCATGTGTATGTAACAATAAATGCATTACATTTGTTATTCTTCAGGGGAAAGGCTACCGAAACCAGACAGAGGGAAGATGCGCTTCCATAAAATCGCTAATGTCAACAAAGCTCTGGATTATATCGCCAGCAAAGGAGTGAAACTTGTGTCCATTGGTGCAGAAGGTATGTGACAGAGCTTGACAATGCACCTTACTGAGATCCTAGGCATTCACATTGCAAAGAAGTTTGACAGAGACCCTTGGCCAAATGGCGTGGGCTGTTCTCTGTATATGGGTGCCTCAAAAATCCCTTAATATTGATTGCTGACCTATATCTGTGAAAGGACGAGAAGTGGAAATTTGTGGACACCTGGAGAGGGATAGGGGTATAAATGGGCTCTATGGTTTCTCTCCAGGGTTAAATTGAATTGTCTCTGTTTCAGTGGGTATTCAGATAATGATTTCTTCTTTCAGCGCACTACATTTTTCGTATACATTATTAAAAATAAGGAACTCCTTTAGAAATCAGGTTGGATTCTAGGGTGATTTATGCAATCTGGGATCTCCTTTTATCTTTCAGAGATATTATTCAGACAAGACAAATGCTGACATCACTACCAGGTGGCTGGGACCTACTCCCATTTTATTATGAGCTTGACTGTGGATGGCAGCTGTGTTTCTAAAATTCAGATGTAGAGTTAAGGGAGTGATCAAAAGAAATTATAGTAGCTGGGGAGAGACTGAACATATGAAGACAGTGGGAGGGGCTGTTATTTACTAAAGTTATTACTTTGTTATTGTTCTGTTGTTCAGGTAGTTAAATACAAACATGCAGTTGGCTAGCTAAATGCTGATAGATGTAAACTCTGAGCAAAAGAAGTCAGGCTCTCACTGCAAGTGAACCTGTGCCTCCTATGAGATTCAATTAATTGTTTAAAAAGGAAAAAGGTCTGTCTAAGACTAGCTGCTCCATGGAGATACTTGCATAACGCTTTGCATAACCATTACCGTACAAAGGAGTGATGTGGCTATCACGATATCCAACTACTTTTGATTCCATGGCCTCAGTGATGTGCTGTCCATTCTGGTGGCAGCCTCTGACATGGCCTTAGAGCCGAACTCTGGCTGTAACCTCAGTATCACAGTGAGAAGCACTAACTATATTCTAGTCATATTGCTGGGCCTTTTTAGATTGATTTATGAGCCTTCTCTTCCTGTTTTCTGATTTCTCCAGGCTTATATATGTCCTTGTTCTGGCTTCCAAACCTTGATCTTAGGGAGCTTACTGTAATTGTGGCTGGAGTGGGAAGATTCATTAGGTGGGACAGGAGCATCTGTAGAATTAATGGAGAGATCTATCAGCATACATTGATTCCACAACGGTTTCACCTAGCCTGCTTGGTTCCTCAAGTATTGTTCACTGAATGTGTTCAGTTTCTAGATCTAGAACTCCAAAATCCCAAGAAATGAGTATTCTCTGGGCAGAGCATTTGCTTGAACTCACCCTTTATTAATTTGAGACTGAACTTGGTGGGCCATCTGAATCCAAATCCATACCATCTGTCTTTAGGCACATAACAGAGACCTTTTCTGGGGAATATATCATCAGTGGGGAGAAACGGGCAATTCCCAAAGGGACTTCAGATCTCAGAAGAGCTCTGCTGCATTTCAGAGGTGCCTGACTCCCTCCATCAGTTGTACAGGCAGTCAGGGGCAGCTGGGCCCTTTGCTGAATTAAATGAAATGGGACGGAAAAATATGCCACTACCTTAAACCTCTGCAGTTCAGGTAATTCTGAGAGCAACATGGCATTGAATGGACAGCAGAGGGTACTGAAGAGACAACTTGTGAGTGGGAATGAAAATGAAGAATACAGAAGCCTGTTTGATAGCCGGTGCAGAAATACTGAGTACAGAGTGTGGAGCAAATGAATGGTAGTTTCTGTCATGTCATGCTGGGACTCTGAGGCTTCCTGATGGAAAACAGGGGTGTAGCAAAAGGAGAATCGTGTGGGACAGAGGGGTCGTTCTCTCTGATCACGGTTTGCACAACGTACTAGTGTTTCCACACCTAGGTTCTTCAAGCAAGGCTGGAGTATTTAATCCAAGATACATCAGCTCGTATCTGCTCCTGAAAGGAGCAGGCCAGCCCTCTGCACTCCCACCTCCCTCCTTTTGCCCTGCTTATTGCTGCTGATTACTGCCAGGGTGCTCGGACTAGTGAGCAGCGCTTCAGCCCTTTCTAGATCACCTGAAGGCAAAGTATCTGGGATAGCTCAGATCAGCCACTGTAACCATTTAAACTAATCCTGCTGTTCTCCTTGGCAGCGACTGGCATGAGTTTATGTGCTCTGTGATAATAGGTAATTCCCTCTGGGAGGGAGGCAGGAACAAGAGGCAGTGACCTCTTCCAGCTTCTCAGCCAGCTGCTGCAAGGTGACGTCTGTCCGTGCACTCAGTAGTTCTTCCTGCGTGTAACAGCAGGCCATAGTTAGGAAGCCTGGAGATTAAGGTGGTGTTCTTGGCTGTGCTGCAGGCTTTTATAGCCTGTTTCTGGAATTCTCAATCTCTAAAATAGAGGGATTAGAAGTAAAAATTCATTCGTTAGTGTTTAAAAAAAACCCCAACGTTTTAAATTCTTGGATGGAAGCACAGGGGAAAAATCCACTGCTACTGGCATAGCTTAGATGCAGAGAGGAACCTGTCATTGTAAGACATTGCACTATGTCAAGTATGGCCACTAACGCACATTAGATAAAGTCCACGTGGGCAGGAGCCGATAGATTCGTGTGCCTTCCACTCCTACTCTCAACAGGCTGAACACAAAGCCAGCTCTGGCCCAGACGTGCTTAGTGCCCTGTTAAGTTTACCACATCCCCTCTACTAAATTTGTTATTTAAGGCACAGTGCCGTGCTGATGCAGCAATATGGCATCACATCTGACTGGGTATAATTTCATAGTGTGGGACCTCTGGCACCAGTATGTGTTTAAAGAGTCCCTGTGCCCCCTTGTCCTGCATATTTGCTCCCACACTTCACAGCCCTACCCTATCACTTGGGCTGACAACTGTTTCTGTAGCTATGCTGGAGACTGGATCAGCAATGTGATCTGGGTTTAAAACACACTTCACCTCTTTTTTTTTTCTTTTCTTTTTTCTTTTGTTGCATTTTTCAGCGTTGTTGACTGGGCAGTAGTCATAGCGTGAAGATGGAACGAATGCCAGCAAGGAGACAGAGCAGAGGCTCCTTAACCTTGTAGTGTTATCAAAGTCCTTAACCCCTTAACTCACTGCCCCTATGTGTGAGCACGGGCCATATGGGCATGTCTGCACCCATCTGTTTTGGCATTCTCCGAGTTACATGGATGCTTGGAATACTTCTTAATTTCCAAAGCATGAAAGTTTTGTATCTAAAGCTGCTGAGGATCAGGTTTTATTATCTGACATGCTGAGTGGTGAAGAGCGTGTAGGCCCAGAGGGACCAACTGGCATTTAAAATGGGACCTCAAGACAAAGATTAAACTGTGATTCCTGTGGGACATCAGTACAAAGTTCAATTTAGTATTTTTAAGGGGCTGCGGATATTCTTTAAAGCTGTCATTACTGTTCTGTGGCTGACTTCTTTGGGCTGTCTGTGGAGTGGAAAGAGAGAGGTGATCACCTTTAGCCGTGATGCTGGGCAGAAGCCCAATTTAGCCACTCTGATATGTCTTGTGGAAGAGTCTCTCCATTGGTGATGAAATGAGAGTAGACAGTCAAGAAACTAAAGCAAAAGCTGTGAAAGTAGTCCTTACGAGCCATTCACAGTCCAGGAGGTAGAAGTTTTCCCTTGAGTTTTAAAAAAGTGCAATAACTCCATTTGCAAGGTAATTGCATCCTGAAAGAACTGAACTGAGGTACAGAGAGCCACAGGAGACAAGTACCCTGTTAATAGGAAACACTTCTGTGTTGCTTTTCTAGGGAGTGGGAGAAATATTAAGGACCAAATTATCTGTGATTCTGCTACAAGAATAATAATAATAAAAAAACAAAAGCCAAAGCAGAATAAAAAGAACAAAACTAAAACCTTTGAGACCTTGCCACACTGCTTTGCTGAGCTTTCTCCCTAGGCAGTTTTTATTGTTTCCCCTTCCCTTTTCCTTCTCTCCTTTCCTGTCCTTATAGATCAGCAAGACCTTTTTCCTCAGAAAGCTGTTGCTTTGCGTATATGTGAGGTGTGGGAACTATATTCCTCCTAGAGCAAACAGGCAATGTGAAGAAAATAATGAAGTCTTCTCTTGACCTGTAGAGGAAAAAGATAGGACTGGATCAGTATTTTTTTCATCACTAATACTTTTCAAAATTTAGCAATTTTGTTTTCCTTCCGCTTAGATATTTTTCCTTGTCTTTTATACATGTCTTTTTTGTGTTTTATGCTAGCAGTAGATAATGAGAAACCAAAGCTGGCAAATTGCTTGAAAATACTCCTGAGGCACAACATAGAAAATTCCCTCTCTTGCTCTTTCATTCTGTCTGTGTGTTCACACGGATATGTACATCAAAACAACGATGTAGTGATTATGCAAATCCATGAATTTATTGCCTGACAATCAGCAATGCCTCCTGAGTATTTAAATTAGTTTATTTTTACATTTGAAGAAATTCTTCTTTACTGTATATACATATCAGACACCTGATCAAAATACAATGAAACATTTGACTTAGGAGGGAGGAGAGAAAAGTAGCGACATGCCCTAAGTCCCATTTGGTCTTTTTTGGTGGAAAGCATTTAGTTTTGAGATTTGAAGATACTTGAGGTCTTTCAGGGCCAATAAGATAGTAATAATGGATGGAAGGCAGGCAAAGTGAGGTAAGAATTCTGGAAAATTAGTGTAGAACCCAAATGGGAAAGTGGAAAAATAGCCATTCATATACAAACTTGGATTATCTCACTAGCAAAGTAAGGATAGACTAGTGATGGGTGACATATCTCCTACCACATTTGTTAATTCCATAGGTTCAAATGACAGCTTGTGTCACATAACTACTGCAATTGAACATGTATCTCAAGTCTCGGAGCTAGCAGCTGCTTTGTTCTGTAAAAGTTGCCCCTGGATCCAGGCAACTTCTAAGCAGCAGAGTGACTGGGTTTTCTGCTGGCACCTCTGTTGGCATTTGACGTTAAATTGAGAAAATTGCTCCTGCTGCCAGTTCCTCCTGCTCCCTCCCCAGGACACCAGTGGGCCCCCAGGCAGCCACAGCTGCTCCACTTTTTGAGGAAGGCTGGAGGTGACTTTTCAAGTTGGGGAGAGCAGCTGGTGCCTTCCCCGCTCCGCTGCTTCGTTGGGGTGAGGTGGCTGGAAAGGCAGTCTGCCGCTCCCCTCTCTCATTGTCCCACCTCTTCCCCTTCTGGTGTGGGACCCTCCTTATAGTCTCACTACGTTCCTCTGAGTCTCTCGCCGTACTTTTCAGAGTGATTGAACGTTATCACCACACTTAAGTGGTCTGGCAGTACATTTTTTTTGGTGTTGAGAGTGGTATCGCTGTTCATATTGAAATGTAGGAGCATCGGATTCTGACTTGGCTTCTGGAAGGGACTCCCATGTACGTGGGAGAAGGGTTGGAGAAAGCACCTTCCTAGCGCCCTGTGTTGTAGGTAGACTTGAGCAGTCTTGAAACAAATTTAAACCCCAGAGGTTAAAAAAATCCCATTTTATATCGAAGATACATAAATGTGCATAGGCATCAGAGCTGTAAGACATGACAACATTCTGAACTGCTTGGCAGGAAACTATGTAGCTTAGACTCAGGAGGTGCTGTGTCTCATGAGCTGTTCTTCATACCTAGTCTGCACTGGCACTATAGGTAAAGTTCTCAAAAACATCTCAATAGTATAGGGGAATTTCTGAGTACGATTTTATTAAAAAATAGTACTGCTAATGTCCTGTAGTTTCTTAAAATTTGGGGTAAGACCGTATTTTTTTCAGTTCCTTTTTATTTGAAAACAGTCAGGCTGATATTGTTCAAACTTTAAATAAGTATTTCCCCTCAGGCTGTCTCTAAAAAAGCCAGCCTAAAAGGTGAAGATTTGAGACAGTTAAACCTACCTGGAGAGAAGCCTTTTAGCATGGAAAAGCTGAAGTGACCTTAACCTCAGTAATCTTCAGACCTACTGCCAGGGTGGCACAACCTTTTTGTTGAAAAATGAACGCCAATGAACTCTGTAGATAAAGAATTATGGTAGAAATATAACAAATTTATTAGATACAATGTATTATTTATAGAAATACATGATTAAAATAAGAGAAAATGGAAAACACATTCTAAACACTACTACCATCTCTTTTTTCACCTTAGAAATTGTTGACGGCAATGTGAAAATGACCCTGGGTATGATCTGGACTATCATCCTTCGCTTTGCTATTCAGGATATTTCAGTGGAAGGTAATAGTAATGCAACTATGTTAAATAATTAGGAAAATTGTTTAAAGACATTTTTATATGAATGGTGCACAAGCGAGATGAGTGTTTTAAAAATGAACTATTTTTTCACAGAAAATGATACTGCAAGTTCCCTATCTGGTGACAAAATCGATTTCTGGAGGGAAGAAGTAATTACTTTCCTGACAGAGACCTTGAGTCAGCTTTCTAAATGCAGAAGTTCTGGGCATCTCTCTCAGTTATAAAAATAAAAACATTGCCTGTGTTTCTGAGCCTCAGTGGCCTGAAACCGTGCAGTAGCCTGTATGGTGGTCCTATTTCCCACATTCTTTTTCAGTCCTGTCCATTTCCACATTGTTTGCAAATATTATCTGATTATATCCATCTTCTTTCTATCACTTTGTTCCCCCCCCCGCCCCGCTTCAGAATTTTTTTTTGTAACTTTCACTCGGTAACTGGCTCCAAGAAGTATGTTGTAGTTACAATACTCTTTAAATCAAGTCTACGCTGTGAAAAATCTAGAATTATAGAATAGAATCATAGAATCCTTATGGTTGGAAGAGACCTCAATCATCAAGTCCAACCGTCAAATTCTAGAAACTAATCTCAATTTTCAATAAAAGTAGCATCAATTCAAGCTCTGTATGGTGTCCTGGCCATAATTTGTGGGACATTAAATGTGGACCTAATGGTCTCTTTGATATTTTTTGTCCTTTACTTAGGCATTCAGATGCCCACAGCGTTCAGATAATGAAGGTATTTTTTCAGCACTTATACATCCCTGTAAGCAAATGGACTGAGACTACAAGCATATTTCATGTAGGCACCAATGCAGTCTTTTATGTCTGGTTCTATTATATTTGTTTTGGGTATTTTTCTCCAAATATACATTCTGCTGTCCAACCAATATAATTTCTTAAACTTCTAATATCCCAGAATTACTGTGCAGGCTGGGACTCTAGTCTGAGTTGTTCCAGTTGAGCTGACCTCTGTGTCCTGATGGAGCCCCGTTAGTCCATTTGTGTATCTTTTAGGATTAAATATTGACTTATGGCAACCAGTTTTAGGTGACTGACCACACTTAAGATGACAAGAAATTAATTACTTGAGCACTTTTTACATTTTTCCTTTTTTAACTCCCTGATGTTTTTTACAGAGACCTCTGCCAAAGAAGGGCTGCTGCTGTGGTGTCAAAGAAAAACTGCTCCTTACAGAAATGTGAACATTCAGAACTTCCATCTTAGGTAAAATTCCATTATTTTAAGGGGTAGAAGCAGTCTAAAATATTTCAGGTCAAATTTTTCCCACAATTGTGTAGGTATATATTTGACAGGAGAATTTCACTCTTCACTGTTAACTAGACTTTTTTCAAATTCTTATGCTCTGTCTTCAGAGTTTTATTTTGGTTAGCCTTTGGCATTATTTACCACGGCTTCCACAGTTACTATTTAAAAGAAAATATCCCTACCACACACAGAATAACCATATTACATTATTAGAGGTCCTTGGTAGATGGGAATATGAGTACTGCAGCATAGTGACTTGGCAAATGACTGCTTTCAAATGAGAGCCACTGTAGGTATAGACTGTTCTTGGCAGAAATACCCATCTGTTGAGCGTGCAAATATCTCATCAGGATGAATCAGTCTTTATTATTTTGTAACGTAACTATAAATAAGGAGCCAAAAATGTGCTCAGTACCCAACAGCAGCACTTTAAACACGTTTGTTTTCAGAATCAGGATCATTACCTAAGTTGGGAAATTTAGTGAAGCTCCAGCCTTGTGGTTCTGTGTTTTCAGTAAGGACTAGAAAGGGAATTCCAGGCCATATGCAGGCTGCCTGGTTTTAGGGATTCACTGGGCTAGTTCCTGTAGCTCTGCCGGTGACCCACCTCATTAAACTACATGACTTGCCATTTGTACCGTTGAACCATGCGATCTTGCCTTCCCTGAAACCCCTATAGTACCACAAGAGCTCTACATCACAGTGTTTTGGTGTCTTGAATTAATTCTTCATGTGCAGCACCTAAAGCACATGTAGTGATAGATAGGGTTCACACATGCATCCACAGATAAAAAGAATTTGTTTGCTTTACAGTCCCTGTATTGCCTTCAAGAGATCTGAAATGTGTTACGTGTTATTTTCCTTGAATATGTAGAGTTATATTTCAGTAGAGCTTTATATGGATGCAGGGTATACTGTAAGTTACAGTATCAGAATCTTAGTCTGTATACATACATACGCCAGTCTGATGGTATGGGGAAAACATCTTGAATGGAAGTACCTTGATTAATGTTTGGGTTGACTGGCTCTTACAGAACTACTTTACAATGGACCATCCAGACCGTTTTAGTCTATACCTTTTGGGAAAAAGCTTTTTCTTAGTTTGGTGCTCATTTTGATTCCATTTTAGCTTCTGGGTGGTTTTATATTATTCAATGAGTGTATATTCTGCTTAATTGTATTACATGTTTATTGGAGGTGGTTCTGTTATTTGCGGGATCTACTCAGACGTCTCAGTGACAGGGATTCTAACAGTCTTAATGTGTTCAGTATCACACCATTACTGCACAGGACCCACAGTCCCAGTGATTGCCTAAAGTTTTTACATAAAGTATCTTTCAGAATAATTGCTTTTGGCTGAATGGAACCTCTTACCTTTGTGAACAGATGTTATTTGTAGCTCCGTTCATTGCCTATTCTTGCCTCGAAAGGTAGTGGGCCTGAAGTCACACGGAAGTGTAAGAGCTCAGATTGAAGCTGTCATATGTGTGAAGTGTTTTAAATAAACTAAACTGATTTATCACTTCTTACTTCTATGAGAACAACATGATTGTGCCATTAAAATTGACTGAAATAACTGACACAGAAAAAGCCAATTGCTTCAGGAAATTCAACTAATTGCAGGTTGTCTCCCCCCTTTTTTTTTTCTTTTTCCCCACAAACATGCTGTAAGTGTAATTAGAGATTATGCACTTTCATTGATGAATGTGTACTCCGAGCTATCCTGGAACACTGCACAAATTAAGCAATTGAAATCAGGGACTGTTGCACATAGTGTACACTGCTTAGAAAGTATTATGGAGTTCTTTAAGTGTGTATGGACTGTAGGGTAAGATATGTACTACAGCAAAAAGAGTTCAGTAACAGAAAAGCTCAGAGGGACGAGAGTTGACAGAACACGAGTGTCAGGATTTGACAGGAGAACTCCTGCTTGATTTTAAGCCTTGAGCAAGGATCAAACTGTAAAATGCCATGACTTTATTAACTAATTTTTTTCCATTCTATTTTTTGTTGTAAAGCTGGAAAGATGGCCTTGGATTATGTGCACTTATCCACAGACACCGACCTGATCTTATTGACTACTCCAAGCTAAATAAGGTCCTCAGTCTGGATGGTACAGCATGCTGTCCTGCAGTGATTTGGCTCACTTCTGGTTTGCTTAGCATGTTTTCTAAAAGGCAAGCTGAGGAGCGCATACTAATTGTGACTGGCTTTCTAAGCTCCCTGCAAAAAAAACAGGGACATGGAGGAAAGGACCTCATGACCATCCTGTGTCCTTCTTTCCTTCCCATTACAATGATTTCAGCATTTAATTGCAAATAATCTGGTCCTCAGCTGCCAAGCAGTTGATGAAGTCTTTTACATTGCCCAGTATGGGTGTTAAATCAAATACATTGGAATTCTCCATTCACCACCAATAGTATTGTATAGTCCCTCCTATTTTGTGTCTAGTGTAAATGACTGTAGGTTGCAGAGCAGTAAACAATGAGATGATGATTAATCCTAATATTCCTTAGAACAAACACTACCCTTGGTAATCAATAAGTTACTAGTCTTACATAGAAAATACTCACCAATTCTTAGATTATACTTCTACCTATACTTCCAGAAAAGCAGGAAAAAAACTAGTATGCTAACTTCCTTAGGTTGTACCTCACGGGGTTTACAAAACTATTTTATTACAGTGTGCTACTCATGGCAAAATGCATGTTTTCGAAAAGATACCAGCCACTTTGAGTGGGAGGAATGAAGAGCAAGTAATAATGTCAGAATTTCTGGGTACCGTTACTGAACAATAAAACCTAGAAAGAAAGTGGAATGTTGTCGTTTCACGTTAGCTCTCAATACATACGTACCATTTTCTGTTCTCTGGAATGAATCCATCTTGAGGTCTGATGTAAACACCAGTAAAACAGTAAACGTAATCATGGTTTTAATTTGTTGAGTGCAACTTTTAGTTGATGAGACTGGTAAATCATAGACTATATTTCCATTCCATGCCCTTCCATTACAAATTGATTTTACTGATGGAATCAACAGTTACCAGAAAGACTTTGATAGGGGAAAAGATGAATGAATGAAGCGAAATTATTTGAAAACTTAGTCTGCTTTATATATATGTTAAATTTATGCTGGGTTAAATTTATTCCCAAGGTGTGCAGTGATGAAAATTAAGTGAACTTGTTCCTAAACATGTAAGATTTTCATTTAGGCAGTTGTTAAGACAACTGCAGATCTGATCTGGAGGGCAAAACATGAGCCATCAACACCAGCTTGTTCTCTAATTCTATATACAACCTTTCCTATGGATAAACAGATTCATGGAACGACTAAGCTACCTGTCTCTGTGTACATGTGCTTAAGCATGGCACAGACAGAAGGTAATTTGATTTTGTGCTTTGAAAAATGGTACCCAGTACTAAAGAACGTTACAGTATAACCATCCTATATATGAGTGCTGAGAAAAGGGAACAGAACACAAGCAGATCTGCTTCAGCATTACTATTTCCCTCTTAGAGGCTTCCAAAAGAAGAACAGGTCAGGTTTCAAACTGAGGCTGAGCTGTGGCACGTAAAGCACATGCAGAAAAATCCTAAAATAGATCTTGCTTTTCTGATCTGGCTGTGTTTGATTGACTGCTCATTTTGGTTACATTAACAGCTGTCTTGGTGTCTTGTTTCTTGGTTTCTTATCTCCTGCATGCTGTCCTTTCCTTTTCTCACCAATGTGTTTTGTGTGAACTCGTAGCTGGAAAGATGGCCTTGCTTTCAACGCCCTTATCCATAGACACAGGCCTGAGCTTCTTGACTATGACAAGTTAGATGAGGTATTTCTTTAGCTGTAGCAGAGATTTTTAGTTACAGTGGCTTGTAGTTTTGTTTAGAAGGATGGGTGATGGAGATCTCCAGTTCTTCAGAAGTTGCTATGATTTTTAAACAAATCCTTTAGCAGTGGAGCACTATTTACTCACAAACTTAGTACCAAGCACGCAAATAGGAGATGCTCATCACTTATCCATAAGCAAAGTGTTTTAGCCTAGTCAATAGGTCTCACTTAGATTTAGTGTATTTTCATCCAATTTAATTTCAATGAGAGTTTTTTTAATACACATTTAGTAAATGTTGCATTACACTTGCTGTCTTGTGTAATAGGAAAAATAAGTTCTTGGGTTTTAAATACTGTCCACATTTAAGTTTCTCTTAATGTCAATGATGCACAAAACTGCTAAATGATTATAGAGGGAGAAGATATGATTAGAGACTTTGTAATCTATTATACCCAAATTGTTAGGTTTTAAAATATAAACTGTTCTTCATAACACATTACATTACATTGAACATGCAGCTTTTAAAGGAAAGGCTATCTAGTATGATATGTTTGTAGAAGGACATGTCATGGGCATTACTACTTATGATACCTGGCATATGTATGTGCATGAGGAACAGACTTCTGTGAAACTTAAATAATTGTTGTGATTCCGTAGTAAGTAGTCTTACTAAGTTCATTTCAAAGTAACAAAAGAAGCATGCTTGAGACTAAACCTCGTTATAGGAAGTGTTTGTATTCAAATGGAGACCCTGGAAATCCCCTGCAGAAAACCTGTTAACATTTGTTCAGTGCCCTCCAGCATCTCTACCTTTGCTCTTCTCTGTCCTATTTTCCCAACCTCTCTCTGTAGACATTGGCATTGTTCAGAGTGGCTACCATCATTTAGCAGTTTGTGAATACATGAAAATAATAATAATACCATTAATGGCATGAACTGCCATTTCACATAAGGTGTTTTCTCTCCAAGCTAGTATAGGAAGGCTGCCTTAAGAGCAGCCCTAAACTGACACGCTCTTCTGTTGTCAGCAGGAGCTATCTGTAGTGTAAGACATGAAATGTGTGCTGCTTATCTGAACTGTGCTCACTGCTTCCTTTCTCTGTCCTTCAAAAATCAAAATCTCAAAAACAGAGGATGTTCTTGAATTTCCACAGCTCTCAAATTCAGTTTATAGAGGCGTTACAGATTTGTCGGTCCATGCCAAAACTGGGAAGTTTTGCTCCTTCTGGAGAACTGTTCTTCTGTCTGTGCTTGCTGCTTCTCACGTGTGCAACCTGACCAACAGAGAACTCAGTAGAATTCATATCACTGTAACGTAACGTATAGTAGGTATAAAACATGCAGGACTAACTTTGTGATGAATGGCCTAGTATAACCTGCTGGACCAGTCGCCTTGACTATATATTACTGTTGTACTTGGTTCAGAATTAGCTCAGAATTGTGAGTGTACACTACATACATTACCTATGTCCCCCTCCAGAATATATTTGCAGCAGAGTCCTAGTGGTACAAAATAGCTTATTAATGTTTTCTTTTGAAAGTATAGCAGTAGATAGAGCAAAAGTTCATATACCTAGACTCTGCTTTTTGAAGAACAATAGTTGTGACTCCAGTTTGCAGTTTGGAAAACCAGAATAAGTTTTAGTGTACCTACTGTGGTCTTACTTCAAGGAAAAACTTCTATGTTTGACTCCTTGTATATTCTTCTTTAATGCAGGATGACCCCATAGGAAATATCAACCTTGCCATGGAAATTGCTGAAAAGCATTTGGATATCCCTAAGATGTTGGATGCAGAAGGTGAGAGTTATATCTTACTGAAGTTTGTGTTAGTCACAAGCAGGAGACAGTAAAAGTTTTTTGTTTTGTACCTAGCAAATTTTCAACATTGCTTCCACATGAATCATAATGGAACAACCTGCTTTGTTTTCAAACAATGCTTTCCTTCTTGTTCCCCATGTATTGGATAATTTCACTCACTTTTTGCTTCATTCCTTATTGCTTGTTATTGTTTGTATTTATTATAGTACTTTGGACCCTAACCTCAGCACATAGCCCCACTGTGATAATTGAGGTAAAATGCAGGATCAAAAGATAATCCTTGCCTTTAAGAAATTAAAATCTAAGTCTAATAAAGGGAAATACAACCGTTAGCAGCTTAAAGCATATCCACTTTTTAAAATGTTTAAGTGAGAGGGCCAGAAATAGAAATGGAAGTAGAGAACTTTCTAAATACACTAACAGCGTGCCTCCTATGAAAGACAGCTAGGTTGAGGGAAGCATTTTTTCAGTTTATTTTAATTGTAAACCTTTTGCAGTGATAGTTTTAACAAATAGTTTCATATTTGGTTTCTCCAATAATCCATAGAGTTTGTTGACAAATAACAAGGTAATATTTATTAAAGTTTCCTGAATTTCTTTGAGATAACCAAACTTCTGCGCTCCAGGCAAAAAACGGTGGAAAAATACTGGAATTTGCCTACACTAGTTCAAAGCAATCTTCTCCAAATATGCAGACTCTGCTCTGGTGGCTTCTCAGTAGAGCAGTGATAACACAGGAATTATCCAGAGCACTCAAACTGACGGTGTCTGCTCCTCTTGAAGTCTTTGGTAGGAAAGTTAGGCCAATACAGGATGATCTGGAAAATCCAGGTTGTAACCTCTTCATTGAAGAGGTTTCTTGGTTTTACCTTCATGCTTCAAAACTAATAGTTTTCATCTTTTGAATTACAGTTCCTCTGTCAAGCACCACTTAATTTTTTTATGCTGAAATAATGTGCAAGGAATAAACAGAAGTGCTACCTCCTTACCATTGAACAGCTCCTATTGTCATTCTCCCTTCCTCATTTTTTTTCTCTTCATGTACAGTGTAAGAAATTTTTTTTTCCCCCCTCACCAGATTTTCTGCACATTCTAGCCCTTATCTTACTCTTCTCCTTCTTGGCAGGGGAGGGAGAAATGAAATAATGCTTCTTCTAATATCCTCTAAGTATTCACCATCACTTTCTACTCTCTTTACTTCCACTGTGTTCTCAGTGGAAATTTTGCAAAATTTTGTTCACAACTATGTGAAGTAGATGAAAACTCAGGAAATACTTTGGTCCTGAACTTAGAAATCTCACTGTTAATATTAGAAATTGTCATCTCATTCCTGGGTCTTTTCACACCAATATCTTCCCACTCCTTACACTGGCAGGAATCCTTGCAGTTTGCACAAGCATCATTCATCACTCAGCCATAATTGGTGTAAAACCACCTTTTTCTGCCTTTCTCCATTAAGTATTGAAAAGATCCATTTTACCAATGTTCCCATACCTTGATTGCACCCTCTCTATACTTTTACTTTTTCCTGTGGTAATAGGGACAAAGCTATCAGCCAGCCAAATCAAACTCTCCTGTGATTTATGCTTTTAACTAAGAAGACAGACTGGCACAGGGATTGCCAAACTGTTACTATCCAAGCTTTTCTTAGCACAAAGTGTATTTCTGGACTGCAGGAGTTCCACAGGTTTCCGATATATGTCCATACCCTGTCAGTCACGGGGACCCTGTGCTAATACACATTGTATGCACTCCTATTTTGTGACTGTCAGAGGCTGTGTTTAACTCTGCAATAATTCTAGTGATTTAGATGAAGTTGCTTTGGAGCGGCAGTGAAGCTGAACCCAGTAGATCTGCCAGCCATGCCATCTGCTTGGAAGTTTCCACAAACCAGAAGGTAGCAATACCCTTCTGTACAGTCTCAGCCTTCAGATGTTCTGCCATTTCAGGGAGAGTTGTATCTTTTCCATACTGATTCCTAAAGCTCGGGTAGCTTTGCACTGATATCAGTAGACAGATGCAACCTGAATAATGGTGTATTTATTTTGAATCCTTACAGCACGGAGGTGGCATCATCGGCATAATCTGATGGAAGTACCTTGTGAGAATTTCTGAGCAGTTAACCCTCTTCTCTCTACACAGATGTAGTAAACACTGCCAGACCTGATGAAAGAGCCATTATGACTTATGTTTCCTGTTACTACCATGCATTTGCTGGTGCTCAGAAGGTGAGATTGTAGAAGACGGATCAGATCTCATCCTTCACCTTCTGTCTTGTTTCTTTCAGCAATTTTTCCTCTTCTGATCTTTTCCTCACTAGTTACTAGGACAGCATCGTAGAGCTGAGCTCATTTCTTGTTGCCTGGTTTTCTCTGTGAGCCACTTCGTCCGTAGAGCCAGTAGTAGTCTAGCCATTTGTTCCATAGAAACAAACCTTCCTGTCTCATCTTTCTGTATATTTACTAATAATATCCAGTAGGTTTTTGACAGCTGGTTACTGAATGGGATAGAGGACATTATTCTCTTTAATTGAACTTGTGTGCGTTCATTTGAAGCACCTCTAAAAATGCAAGATAAAAATAAGCTCACAGTGAAAAAACAATGTCAATAGCAGCATGCCATCTTTTTTCTCCCTGCTGGATATTATTCCTGCTACAGATGTCAAAACCTTCGTAACAGATGCTCAGAAAATAAACCCTTCTCTTATGCTTTCAGGATTGTTTTTAAAATGTTAAATGCTTAATGGTAAGTACAAACAGCAACATAAAACCTTGCTACTATGCAAAATAGACACAGAAACATGCACAGACATCTCAGAAGAGCTCTGGAATCATGTCCTAATGAAAAGAAAGGTTTAAAAAGTAAGACAGTTCAGAGTTGGACATACTTCAGGTATTAGTAATATAAAGAATACTGATATATAATGATGAGGTTATAACTAATCCACATGCAATTTCCAGAGAACGTCTTCCCAGATCAAAATGTAGTCTGTCTTTCCTATGTCTTAGTCAAAAACCTCGGACATTCTAAGTCGCCAGACATATGCGCGCCGGTTCTTAAGCAGATAGTCCTGGTAAAATTAAGGTCACTCCCCTTGTTACAATACTGCAGGGTGAAGCTTATTGAAACAATTCCACCTCTTTGTAAGACCTTATGTTGAATTTCTAGTGCATGTTTTTATTCTGGCAGCACCCATCAATCTAACACTAAATTTATTACAGCTTTGTAGATTTTCTAGAATACAGAGCTATGGACAAGAAAACAATCAGAATGACACTCTGTTGTGCTTTTATTTATTCATCCTGTTTTCTCCTCCTCGATTCTTTTTTTTTGTTTTGTTTTAATTTCTCCCCCCCCTCTTGTAGATATTGTGAACACTCCCAAACCCGATGAGAGAGCTATCATGACATATGTGTCCTGCTTCTATCATGCTTTTGCTGGAGCAGAGCAGGTATTAATCAACTGTCCCTTCAGGTTGCTGTGTTTTTGATTGGTTGTTTCACATTTCCACTAGTTTATTAAAAAAAAACTAATTTAGTACTTTGTGGGTTTAATTAACAACTGCAAGTATTACTTGAGCACTAATACTTGTTTTTAACCAACACTTGGACCTGTTTTAGTTAAATGTTGTGTAGCAAGTTGAACTTCTTTAATTCCAATGGACGTTCCTGTTTCTCATTTTCGGTCTTTATTTGGTGATTATAAAGACTATTTCAGAAAAACTGTATTTGAAGGTACTGTGAAATGGAGTTGTTGTTTGTTGCTACGTCAACACCTTATGTGTTTGCTGCATAAAAGAATGTTTGACTTTTGGAGATTGAGACTATTCTAGACTTACTGATGCTGAGTAGTAATTTAGGACTAGATTTTCAAAGATGCCTAAAGATGCAGAAAGACACAGAAGACATCCAACACAGTATTTGTGCCTGGTTCCCACTGAAGCCAACAAAATTATTTGTGGATCAAAGTACTAGTAGAAAAGGCAAGAACATCAGTCATACAGGATGGGATTCTCACTTACAAATGTGGCATTTCCCCCTGTTCTGCTACATGCATTTCTAGCCTACAAACGGACATAACCCAACTTATGTGGAAAAATAGTAGTTGGTATTTTTCCTTTGTCCTCAGGATTTAATTTCCCATCCTGCCTGGTAGGCCCCCTGCACCTTATCACAGCACAGCTCTGCTGTGGCACCCTCTTGCTTCTGGGTATGAAGGTTTTGCTATTCATGCAAAAGAGGGATTCCAAATACTCTGTATCACAGGAATCTACGCAGATATTTACTTGATTAGATACACTCCAGACTCACATTTGTGTGAAAGTACAGATCTGTGATGTCAAACTGCTAACGTAAATGTTAAATATGGCAGAGCTACACAGTGCCTTCACAAATAAATTTGGCAGGAGGCATGAAAAGTTTTGCTCTCAGTGGTTGAGCTGCATATATCCTCAAGGGTATGTGTACATATGATGTGCAGATATAGAGTGGTCTGGGACTCCTGAATCACATGCGGTTTCTTTCCAGTGTGGCTAACAAATCTAATAATTTTTTGTTGTGATTAAAAAAAAAACAAAACCTAATAGGATAACTCTAAGAATGGCCTAAGTCATCTTTGAAAATAAAAGATTTATTAGACAACTATAATGCAGTGTGAAATTCCCCCTTGTATAATAAGGCTTCATTGTACAACAAGGTGACTTCTGTGCTGATCTGTGCCTTATTCAGGCCATTGGAATCTGTGACTACAGGAGGAGGGTAAATTTATATCTAAGTAACCTAGGAGCACAAATCAACAACTATAAAACAATGTGATTTTTATTTGCAGCAGCCACATCCTCTCTCTTTCTCCAAGCCTGTACCTTTCTCAGAATGTGTTTATGAATATGTCCTGTTTATTTGCTGTGTTTTACAGGCTGAGACTGCAGCTAACCGGATCTGTAAGGTGCTTGCTGTGAATCAGGAAAATGAGAGGTTGATGGAAGAGTATGAGCGACTAGCAAGTGAGGTAAAGACAGCTCTATCTGTACTGTGGTGATTACGTTCATGAAAGATGAAAGATTCCTGCACACTCTGCAAGGCAGCAAAGTGAAGACACTATGAGGGTAAATCTCACACTGGTAGGGTACAAAGCTCAGTCACCCAAGATGTCAAGAGTTGGCGATTCCTTTGCCACAGGCTTCCTCTGTGACCTCCAGCAAGTCATTCAGTCTCATTAATGTGCCAAAAATGGTGTTTTGAGAACTGTCATCGGTCTGCCCCAAGACCAAGCTTGCTGTCTCTGTAATCTCCAAAGACAGCCATCCTTGACCACACGTGGAACATACAAGATCCTGTCACTCCAAGCAAGCCCCTTGGCTTTGTGTACTGCAAAGCACACCTGGACAGGGACTGTCAGGGGGTTCACAATGCACCTCTGAACACAGGCAGCAAATGAATGAAGGAGGGGACACTTTGTGCCCCTCCTGTCCTTTCTTGGTAAATGGCAAATTTGTTGAGTCAGGACTACAGATGTGTAGCGCACAAGTGAGAGCTCCTTTGTCTTTAACGTATAACCTGCAAAAACATACTGAGATCATAGACACAAAGACAGTAGTGCTACATTGGCACTGATGAAATTCTGAGTGAAGATTTTTATTAACGTATAACCTGCAAAAACATACTGAGATAGACACAAAGACAGTAGTGCTACATTGGCACTGATGAAATTCTGAGTGAAGATTTTTACATGACCTGAGTTACTTGGCTGGTGTCTGTCCTGATCTCATAACTATGACTACTTGGGACATCAAGACCAATACTTTCGAAAGTGGCAAGTGTTTTGGGTAACTCAGGTTCTGAGTGATTAGCTAGAGACATGTTACATGTGTGTTCATCTTTCTGAAAATCAGGGTATTTCTAGAAATGCGTAGAATATCTGGGCAAATTAGTTAAAAGCACGTTGTTCAGCTTTGAAGATCTAGTGCTTACTTGCCATTAAGGCACTGATGCCAACTCAAGTCAATCATATTAAAATGGAGCAAACTTGATTAGGATTTGTGCATTCAATATGGTCTGGTTTTGGTGGCTTTTCCATTGCCTTTATTTCAATTGCTTGTGTTGGTTTGACAGCTTTTAGAATGGATTCGCCGGACAATTCCTTGGCTGGAAAACAGAACACCAGAAAAAACAATGCAGGCTATGCAGAAGAAATTGGAGGATTTCCGGGACTACCGCCGCAAACACAAACCTCCCAAAGTCCAAGAGAAATGTCAACTGGAGATCAATTTCAACACCCTGCAGACAAAACTAAGAATCAGCAATCGGCCAGCTTTCATGCCATCAGAGGGAAAAATGGTTTCAGTAAGTAAAGGAGGCATCAATATTCCGTTCTCCTTTTTTTCAACACTCTCACAAAAATTTCAACGTGAAGGATTGAAATGGCATTTTATGTCATCCTCAGAAAGTTCAGTTTGTTGCACTTTATCAATATCAAACCACTCTTTTTACACATTCCCTTTCATTCTAGAATCTTGCTTTCTTTTAAGCATGCTCCTGCCTCTTTGAAGGCTTTCCCCAAGAGCAAATTATCTTGAGATATGAGACGATACAGAGCTTCCTTTGGGAGCGTTATCAATACTTCTCTACCAGTGAGGCCGAATATTGTTTATTTAAGCAAAACTCACCGTGGTTTCACTGATGTTTTAGTCATCAGACTTAACAGAAACAGACATTGCTCAATGTATGTTTCTGCTTTTTTCTGCTTTTTAAAATTTGTTTTTTCTTATGTCTGTGAGGATAAGAATAGTCAGCACCAAGAATTCTCATCTGCTGATAATTATTGTGAGTTGACTGTGGGTCAAAACATTTCCCGTGGAATGTAGCAAGCATGTTTCTCTACTCTGTTCTATCATTGTGTTTTGGTTTCTCGGATTTGATAAACAGACAATTGCACTGTCTGAAAAGGGCCACTGTCCCCTCCCCATATGCAGAAAATAAGGGCCCTGTTACTTCAGTCTCCTAATCATGCCTTTGAGTTCCCGAGGAAGCACACAAGACTTTGTGCACCACAGAAAGGGAAATGAATTTGTATTCCAGATAAAATAACGCACCAAATCCTCTTGATACTAATTAGTTTGCTATTGTCAACTTCCGAGAGCAAAGCACCTTTATTTTGATAACAGATGGGTATGTCATAAAAGAACACGCACATTGCAAAATGGGAGGTAAAAGCAATATATCGTGAAGACACTGAACGTGTAGCTGTGCTTGGAAGCCATTTGTATAGGGGTTCCTTTCATGAACCCACATGAATAGGGCGCACAATTAGGAACAGATGTCTGGACTACAAGACTTCTTGAGCTGCCTGACAACGTTTTTTATGATTCTGAGATTTTACAAAATCTGGACATAAAACTGTCTCTTTTTGGAGCAAAATTGTGAATGAATCCGAAATCTGCAGACTTGGATAAAAAGAGATTATAGTTTCATCCCCTCTCTGCCATGTATTCTCTTCACAGGATATTGCCGGCGCTTGGCAGAGACTTGAACAAGCTGAGAAAGGCTATGAAGAGTGGCTGCTGAATGAAATACGAAGACTGGAAAGACTTGAACACTTGGCTGAGAAATTTAGGCAGAAGGCTTCCACTCATGAACAGTGGGCATATGGTGAGCGGGGATGGCTTTGAACGTTTTTAATGTTTTAGTGTTTAAAGTTAAACTGTCAGTGCTGAATATTTGCCAGCCAGAAACTCACTCGTAAGTAGTTTGGACAGTTTCAGAAACCTAAAACAATAACGGATAAAACTGCAGGTTTTGTTGACTGTAGTCATGAACCTAACTTGTAGGCGTGTGGCTAATGAAATGTAACTGTAAAAATCGTACTTTTGAGGTAGTGAGTCAAACTTAATGGGAATGTTCAGCATTTGAATTACTGCTAATGGATTCCTATGTATTTGTAGACCATCAATCCAACCAGGAACGCAGTGACACCACTGGTTAAGTGTGAAATTATTAACAGAGTTATTCTGAGTCGATTATTGTTTTGTCATCATTGAATAGTTCACATAAACTACATGATAATGGACTCATTTCTGCTTTGCTCCATACTCTGGATTACACCCCATTTACAGTTCTGGTTTTTTAATGATAACCTAACTTTACATGTAGTTGTAACAGCTCTAGGACCATACACTGGCAGACAGTTTTGTTGGGGACCGTTAAACATAGATCAGCTCTATCATCCTATTGTTTGCCCTAACAAGAGTCTTCCTCCTTCTGCCACGCTTCTGGCCTTTTCCAGCTAGAATCTTTTCACACTGTGAAAGTAAAGCAGAGTCCATCCCGTAACGCAGTTGCTGGAAGCATACAGGGCTGTAAATGGCTGCCAAGCAGATACTAGAAGGGAAACTACAGTGTTTATCAGCTCTGAGAGCCTCTTTTCTGAGCATAAACTACTCACGGTGACATGTTATGGCTGTTGTGCAGGGAAAACTTCACCTGAGCTGGTATATAGCCAGTGAAACGATAGTCACTTCTGGCTCTAGAATTCACAGTGCTGTGTAGTGCCATGTGGTGCACTGCACTTGGAGGGGCTCTCTGTACGGATTCAGTTGTCCGACACAGGAGCTACTGAGGAGTCATAGTTCAGTTTCTGATTTCCTCTTTGCTTCTCTAGCCTTTGTAAATAGGTTGGCGTTTTCCACTTAAAATTCAGTGTTTGATACAAAAGGCAGCCACACATCTCAATTTATTTTTTTTTTCTTGTTAAGTGCTGAAATGAATAATGAATTTGAAGGCAGAACATGAAAAAGAATAACAGGTCATTAGTAAGAGTGAAGCTGAGCGTAGCAGTGTGATTTCTGGTTTCATAAGTCTGCTTTACAAAAGACTTATCACAATAGTTTACAGCCCCAGTTTTTGCCAATATATCATTTTAGGCCAGTTTCTCAAGCAATGTAATACTCGCTATTTTAGGCCAGTATAAACAGCCTATGCAAAAATCAGGGATTGTTGAGAGATCCTTAAAAATACATATTTCTAATTAACACTTGTGCTGACAATTTGCCACTGATGGGGGACTGGTGGGGGTGGGACTTCATCTCATACCTGTGATTTTTCACCATGCCTGAGTTTAAAAAGCTGACTAAATTTGCAATTGTTCTAACCGATAAGTTAGTAAAAAATGACCAATATTTTAATTTCCTCTTTCAGGCAAAGAGCAGATCTTACTTCAGAAGGATTATGAATCTGCTTCTCTGACAGAAGTCCGCGCCATGTTAAGGAAACATGAAGCTTTTGAGAGCGATTTGGCTGCTCACCAGGACAGGGTGGAACAGATCGCTGCCATTGCCCAGGAGCTGAAGTATGTTCCATTTAAAGGCTTGCAGCTGCTGACATTTAACTTTGTGATAAACTCTTTCCAATGAATTTGATAGTGTCATAGGTACCAACGTAAGAATTCCAGAGATAGCTTCATAAGTATATTATCTGAGCTGGTCACTGAGACCTTTCCCTCATCTCCCCCTTACCCCCAACCAAATATAGATATTCAACTGACCAAAATTATTTGAAAACAAACATTTTAAAATTAACTTAACAGTAATCTTTTAGCATTAGCTCTACTGATGAGTCCATTGTGTGTTGATGGGAATCCTGGAGGTGTTTATTTGTTGGTTCGTATGGTCTGCTGAGAGGTACTGGCTGTGAGTTTAACTTAGAAAATAATTTCACTTACACAAATTACAGATCAAGTATCTTCACTTTAAAATAAAGTATTTTCCCACAAGTATATTGGTCCTTTCAAAAGGCTTCACATCCCTAAATTATCTCCACAATAGTGGGTAATGCACTGACTTTTCTGAAGATTTAATTGTCTCTAGTATACTTATTTTCACAATCTCTTCATCTTATATTTGGAAGTGCCATTGTCTCCATTTTACAGAAAGGGCAGCGGAGCATATGGAAACTAAATAACTTGCTCAGAGTCATACAAGCAATCAAGTGCCCAAGCTTTCCTACATGAGAGCAGGAGTTTTCAGCCACAGTTCCATCAACTTAGCCACAGGACCGACACTTGCTCGCTCGGCATACTATGCCCAGAGGAAACACAACCAAAGCCGAGAACAATTCTGCAACACGTTTAGGCTACGTCTGTATTGCTGACATCGGCTACGTGGGTCAGGGCTGTGAAAAATCAAGGCACCTGACTGACAGACACCCTTACGGCAGCAGAAGTCCTGGGTGTTGATGTAGTTACTCTGGCTAAACTCTGACTTTATCGGTGGAGTGGACTTTATTGCTTTTGTTTGTGGAAGGTTGTTCATTCACCTGTGTGAAGCACAGTTTTGTCAGCAAAGCTCTGCCCACGCTGACAGGACTGTAGTGTTACACGCTGATGTCCCTGTTCTGGTAAAGTCGTCTTGGTGTGTACCCAGGCTAGGCACATTTCTTTTTATAATCTTATGCAGCTAATTGCAGTGGTTTTGTACTGTAAATCAGTGGCGCTACTCCTGATCTTAGCAATTTGGCACATACTTAAATTCATTGCTCACCCGCGGTATAAATCTGTCAAGCCAACAGGAACAAATGTGCAGTAGTGGTCGAAACAAGAGCCAAGATCAAAATTCTCAGATTCCTGCCCTTGGCTTCAGCTTGCCAAGTTTCAGTTTCTCACCTTCTTGAACAGGCAAAACAGTTACTACTCCAAAATCAAGCGTTAAAAACATGCCCTCTTTTCACTTTGTGAAGGACCATGACTCATAAACAGCTCCACACTCATTAACAATTTAAAAATCAGAGAGTTGTCTAAAAATGTTGTTCATACCTCATAGCAGCAGCACTTACAGTAACTGTACAATTCACATGGATTTAGAAGAAAAATCCTATTTTTCAAGATTATTTAAAGGAGGAAAAATAAAGCACAGTGGGCAGAGTAAATACTGGTTTTTAGTTAGTGTGCAAGAGTCTGAGAAACACGAGAATGGAGATTTCACTGTGTATATGAGCTTATGGAAACCTCCTGGCACGCCTTGATCTCTCTTGTGGAGTTATTTGTTCCTCTTTACACTAAAGACGTTTTCTGAAACACCTAATCATTGTTAATTCAGCTTCAGCTTGACAAGTGATGAGAAACTTTGGGAATGTAGTATACGTAGCCCAGCATCTGCTTACCAGCGTTTAGAACCCTGTGTCCTTTACCTCTGGTGAGGCCAGCGAACACGGTATCCTGTCTATTTTTGGATCGTCTCTTCTCAGTTGTTTCAGTAATTTGCTGTGTGAAGTTAAATGAGTTATTTCTGGCCTGGGCTGCAAAGGTGTTGAAAACCCATGGCTTTTAGAGATGCTCTGCTTTGACTTCTCTGCTTCTCTATACAATGGGGTTCCTGGTGCCCGATTTTTCACTGAGAGTCAGCAGCTCGGTTAGGCTTAATGGCCTTGGAGACCACGGAGTGAAAGGCCGTAAAGGTCAAGTTTTATTATTAGCTGCAAGCAAATGAGCAACTTCTATTGTAACATTGAGTTTAATTATTTGTACATAATTCCTCACACAATGAAATTATGGAGAAAAATGCTAATTTCTTTCTCCATTGGTATTTTTAAAGAAGGATTGACTAATGTCTGAATGCTACGAAATGTGCATTGGCACCTGATGCAAAGCTCATCGAAGTCAGTGTAGGTATTTTTTTATTATTTTTTTTTGTTTGTTTTTGGTCACTGGATCAGGACCTTCCAGAAACCATCATCGTCTGTGTCTAAATTCCAAGTCAGTACACTGCTGTGTTTTGTTTTAGTCCATCTCTTGGCTGCCTAATGTTGCTATTTCAAAGGAGAACAATTGCTGTGAGACCTTGAACTCTACCAGTTACAGTTTCCCGTCTGTCCTGGTATTTTCTACTGCAGCAGCTCAGTCCACGTTGCGCTTAAGGTTAAAGTTGGCACAAGCTTGTTGAGTGGTGCTGCTTAGGTAAAAGATTTGTGCGTCTGTGCAAGCACGTGATTCCAGCCAGGATGCTGCTATAAGATTGTTGTGTTCCAGCTGGGATAGACTTAGATATCCCTTGGCAATAAGGCACGATGAGGCTGGGATAGGGCTATATACAAAACTGGAAACAGGCATTTCTAAAATGGGATTTGCCATTTATGACATAGCAAAGGCTAAATAGAACTTGAGTGAGCTGTGCTATGAAATGCCATATTCATTTATGATCTTGTGTGCTCATTTCAATGTTTTCAATCATCAAGATAAAATTTTTGGAATGTAGTTTCTTGCATATCCATCACTTCTAGTATAGCAACTTATTCTCAGCCAAGAAGACCACTATCTGTAACACTGCTTTGGAGAGTCCTTTTACTTCTGGAAACCTGGGCTCAAATTGTGCTTACGTGCATGGTTAACATGAACCTGGGTCTGAAGCAGCACTAAAGCATGTTGCTCAGCAGGTTATTTTTGTGACACTATCACTGTTCCTAAAGTGAGCTCATACTTAAGTCCTTCTCTGGATCAGGACAAAATTTAACTAAATTTTTAAATTTTTACAGATAAGATTGAATTACTTGTAAGATCAATAGGAAGAGCTTCATGACTTTGAAATTCCAAAGGCTGTAGATTTCAAGTAACCAAAGGAACAGACATGACTGTTGTGTTAGAAGATCTGTAACACATGGGCAGCAGTACTTTGTGTATGCATGACAAGCAAAAACTGCTTTTTACAAAATGTGAAACCTAGTCTCTCCGCAGCTTCAATGTTGAGAGAGATATAAAAATTAATAGGACAAGGAATGTAAACTTGTGTTTTATTTCCAAGTAAATAATCTCCTATGAGTTGTTATTTCTTCCTCTGCTCCTGCTTTGAGCAGAAAAATCTTCTTTGACACATATCATACGCTTATTTGAAGTAAACTACAGCAGGCCCAGAAAGGCAGTGGAGCTACACAGTTTAATGCCACTTGGTAATTTAACTTATGATTTTTGACCCACGGGTGCCCTTTTTAGAAATCGTTTTGATAATATTATTCTCCTACCTATTTGTCCACAGCACATATCCCTGGAAGAAATAGGATAGCAGAGATCATATGGGGAATGACTGAACCTCCCTGGCAGAGCTGGTGGAGGAACGTTGCGCATTACCTTCCCAGACTTTGACCAGAGCTGGTACAATCAATCCCTCGCTTTCATGGAAGGACACCTGCCCTTATCCTAACTGACAAAAGGAGATAAGTGATCCATTGAAGCAAAAACAAAATTTGCGGTACTCTCAGGGATGTGACCTGGAGTATCTGGAAAAATACCCTGTCCATATTCTGGTATATCTGATTTGGTATGCGAAAAGAGACCAGAATACAAATCTCCACATCTCATCCACTTAATGAGCTCACACAGAAACATCATCTAATAATCTCAATATGCTCTAATGAAAAAACCCAACTTCCAGACAAAAAACTCGTAGCAGCAAAATATATCTCAGCCTGTTTCATCCAAAACTCTATGCTTCTGACTCAAATTTTCTTAACAGATAGATGGCTTTTGTTGCATCCCTTAAAGGCTTGTTCCAAAGGAGGAAGCAAATTTTTGAGTTAAGGGGCCCTTGTGTAGTGTGACTTGCTGGCAGCTTTCTCCTTACGTGCAACGGTTCTACTTTCACAATTTTAGGTTGGTTTGCTTTTTTTTCAAAACTTACTATGGCATTTTAGTTTTACTTGTTTTACCATTCTTCACTTTCAACAGTCGATTCATTGCAGCACATCTGAAGCCTCTTTTAAACAGAATGGTTCACATACTTCTCAACTTTATCCTGAACCCGATTGCTCTGAGTGAGCTTAGAGTAGGAACCATGAACCCTGTCCCTGGCCGACCGTGTAGCTTCACACCAGAAAGCTACCTCTGTTCTCACTTTGTCCTCGTGATTCTCTAAGTTACTGGTGGAGTGATCTCTACGTTCCTCTTGCCAATTGCCTAAAGAAGAATGCTCAAAAGAAGAGAACAACTTCTATCTGCATTTAATGTCTTGTTCAAGCCTTAAAGTAAATCTTAGCTTCGTATTGCCATGCTGTCACAGTCTCTGCAACGGTTAGTACTGGGCAAAGTGGCCTCGAGGAGCAGCCAAGAGCTAAATTCAGTAGATGATGATGCACCAATAAAAGTGAGCTTCCAAAGTGCCAAACACATGTATTTTATCATGGTCATGGTAGCTGCAGCAGAACCAATGGGATGATCTGCTATTGAGATCAAAAATTCAATTTGAGACAGACTCAGGACAGGGCCTTAAAAAGTTATTCCAGTTTTAGGCAGAATAGTAAGTTGCTTTCTGTCAGGATAAGCTAAGCCTATTAAGCAGGTGAAAAAGCAATGCTGACCACTACATGCTTTGTGGGTGCATGGATTCATGCTGGTGGCATGCATGGATCGGGAGATCCCTGTTCTCCGAACCAGCCAGTTCTAGGGTGTAGCTCTGTGAGGAGTTCCTGGAGAAAAAAAGATGAAAATTGTTCTCTGTGCTGCAGATCTGGGCAGTGCCTATTAGTATGGCCAGGCCTGTGAGAGAGAGGTTATCCTTTGAATGCAACCTGAGGTCTGTTTCTCAGTTAAATAATTTCAGAGCGTATGAGGCTGGAAAGGATCATTGGATTATTTAAAACAAAATATATATTTCAGGCCAGTTAATTTAAAACTGTACCAATCTTCAGAAACTTGATAAAACCCTAGACAGCAACATTCTGATCTTCAGGAGATTAAATTGCTTGTGCCACAGCAACAACTGAGACAAAGATGGTTAGACACCTTAATTGTCTTTAATACCTGGATGTCGCAGATGGATACTTGATTTTTCTCACAACAGAGGAGGTCGATCCTGTTCCTGTGGTGTGCTGCTTGAAATGCTGAAAGTCTAGATCACACATGTCTATACCGGAACACTGGCTTACCTGGCGGAGAAATATCGCAAAAAAGAGGGAGAGAGTTACTGAGGGCCAGTGGAGGAGTGTGGACAATGCAACTGCTCCAGTCTTTCAGAAACTCAGATTTTTGTCTTCACTCTTTCTTAGTGAACTGGACTACCATGATGCCGCAAGTGTCAATGACAGATGCCAAAAGATATGTGACCAATGGGACAGCCTGGGAACACTTACTCAGAAAAGGAGAGAGGCACTGGAGGTAAACCATATAACAATGATCAGCAGCTCAGCTGAGGCAGGGACGAGGGAATGAACCATTTGTTTCAGAGCTGGAAACAGTGCCATTGAGCATCCACTTTGGAATCCAAACACCAATAATCCCTTTCCTCAGATCTCCATTTCATTTTGGTGTGGTTTCATTTGCAAACAGATTGAATTGCTCAGAGCAGACTTGACAGTACTCAGCTGCCAAGGACCGTTCTCAGGCAGCAACAAATGGCAGGCGGTTTATAGCACCGCTCTTCAGGAATTTGATGTCCGGCAAGGATAACAAAAGCCATTAGATGCTTAGCTTTTCATACTTGTCTGAGCTTAATCAGGTGAGGTACAGGATAATGGCCAGCACTGGGTTAATTTTTTGGTACTGAATATTCCAAAGCACTGAGATACTTTCCAAAAACTTGTTCTTTGAGAAAAGAGGAAGTCACACGCATGTATGCCAAGGTCGAAAACCTATGTCTAACTCTTCCTTTTTATACTTACAAGAAATTACTCAATGAGATTAGCAGATTTTAATTGATTTGCAGATAGACCACAATAAAAAAAATACTTCAAATATCAATAGTGAAAAAGTCATTTCACCCATTATCCTTCAAAGGCCTACACCCCTTTTAACATGTGGGATATGAGAGTATCTTTACTGCAATTAGTCCTATTGCCTTGAGTGAGAATCCTTAAAGCAGGTGGTGAAATCAGTCAACAATACAATCAATTGCTTTTGAAGAGACGAGGCATGACTTTGTTGTGCATGGGTGGGTATGTGTGTGGAGTTAGGTCTTGCACTAGTAACAAAGGAATGTTCCTTTCCCAACCTGTACAGAGGACGGAGAAATTGCTTGAAACAATTGATCAGCTTCACCTGGAGTTTGCCAAACGAGCTGCTCCTTTCAACAATTGGATGGAAGGTGCTATGGAAGACCTACAGGACATGTTTATTGTTCATAGCATAGAGGAAATTCAGGTAAAGGTCTATTTTTTGGCTTACAGTCATGGGGAAAACAAGAAATGAAACTTTTTCTTCTCAGAGAGAAGCACATGTAAGAAAAAAATCCCGTCTCCATCTTGACGTTTTCTTTGTGATATGCAATGTCTGCCCTGTTATAAATAGGGTTCTTCATTGGTATGAAAGCTTATTCCGAGACCATGGAAGAAGCAATGGTCTGGATAAAGTCAATGTTTCATGAATGTATCTACGTTTTTATTTTCCGTATCTACACATACATGTAGAAAGGGTGTTTGAGATGCTGAGAGAGGAGCTGTGCTTATTTACAGCAGATCTTCCAGATGTTGAAAGAAACATTAAAGTTTTCATGCTTTCCCTCTCTGTTTCCGATTTTAGAGTTTAATCTCTGCACATGATCAATTTAAAGCTACTTTGCCAGAGGCAGATGGTGAAAGACAGGCCATACTATCAATCCAGAATGAAGTTGAAAAAGTTATTCAGAGTTACAGCATGAGAATAAGCGCAAGCAATCCTTACAGCACTGTTACTGTGGAAGAGATTCGTAGCAAGTGGGAAAAGGTAATGTATGCTAAATACATACGGGACACTGTAAAATAGTATTCTAGTTTAGAAATACTAAGAATATTCAGTGAACTTTACACTAGATCTGTAAATTATTCTAGATCATTGAATGCCAGAATGAACTTTTTACATCATCTTATGCTCTCCCTTATGTTTGCTAGGCTTGCTTCACAATATCCCTTGCTCGCATCACTCAATATTACCTAGGTCCTTTTTGGCTTTTTCGTGGGGCAAGAGAAGCACGTGTTGGGGCTAGTGCAGAGCTGGTGGCTGGCCAGTGGATGGGTCAGGGGTTGCTGTCAAAAGGACAGAAAATGATTGTATTCTTTCTGTCAGTATAAACAGTAGTTCATGTGTTCTCTTCTACCCAGCTGCTGCTTTTCACAAACTTTGTAAAAAATTAGCATCTTTGGGACCGTTAATGTTCTGTCCAATTAGATTGAAATTGGCAATTACCTTAAAAAATTACTGGAGAGGGATTAAAAAGAGGCTCCTAGAGCAATCACACAAACTTTATTTCATTAGGAACCAAGCCAGATAATATACCAAAGGTAAATAATTGTGTAGAATATATGAATTTACCAAATACATAAACTTACACGGACAAGAACGCACCCGCAATGGGTTATAAAAACCAAGCAATAAGGACTTAATTCAGAATCCCCCAGGGCAATCCGGAAGGGTAAGCCAAAAAAAAAAATTTGCAATGCATCAGAAACCTTCAGATATACATGATGGGCAGAATGTGTCTCATGTTATCATATCGTAATGGCTGTGCTCAAATAAAATGGTTTGCAGCGACTATTCTTAGAACAATTACTTAGAGAGTGAAAAATCACCTGTATTTCAAAGGAAAAGCAAAGTAACTGCTCTAATAGCAGTTCAAGTTAGATAGTTGTCTTGAACTTGAATCCAGCCAGAGGTGAGAATTTCTTCTCTCTCCATGTCAGTCTTTCTAGTCAAGCTGCCCAAGACCACATTAGCAATTTCTTATGTTAGCGCAGAATTGATAAATAAAATAGCGATCATGTTTCTAGCTTGTCCTTCTGATACCAACCTTCAGACCAATAAGAAAAATCAGTAACTGTTGACTTATTTGTTCCATTTGTTTTTTTAACTGTTCAGTTGTGCCTACTCACACTTGGTGCTTCCCCGCTGTAACAGGTGAAGCAGCTGGTGCCTCAGAGGGATCAATCCTTGCAGGAGGAACTCGCCCGCCAGCACGCCAACGAGCGCCTGCGTCGCCAGTTTGCTGCTCAGGCCAATGTCATTGGGCCATGGATCCAGACCAAGATGGAGGTGAGTGTCAGATCCTCATGCAGAAGCTGACGAACAAAGTGGTTTATAACTTTTTATCTCTTCTTTATATACAGGACAACAGCAATCTCCATGCTAGTTCACCAGCTGTTTGATCCTGAAGTATTTAGCACCTGTTAAGATGATTTTTAAAACTGTGGAAACTTGTACAAGTGGTACTTTGATGGTGAGCAGGAGATGTAGCTTTGAAAAAATCAATCACTAAACAATTATTATTTAGCTTCTGCTTCCTGTAAAGGAAAGATGCCAGGATCACTGGGGTATCAATAGTAATGCCAGAAATAAATGTGCCACATTTCTTTTGAAATGTGTTTTCTACAGTAAAATTTCTCATCTCTGCTGTCTGAAGGTTTTATTACTATTGCTTCTTAGTATGAAAACATTTCATATTTATGTGAAAGTTGGTCAAATTAGCAAATCTGAAGCTTAAATTTTGCGGGGCGGATGTCTTTGTTTGCTTTGACAGGAAATTGCCCGCAGCTCTATTGAAATGACAGGGCCTTTGGAGGACCAGATGAATCAGCTGAAGCAATATGAGCACAATATCATTAATTATAAACACAACATTGACAAACTGGAAGGAGATCATCAGCTTATACAAGAAGCCCTGGTGTTTGACAACAAGCACACCAACTATACTATGGAGGTAGCCATTTACTCCCTCTTGTACTTCTTAGTTTATTCTGCCCTCTTCTACCACATAACTACCTTCCCTGATCTGAAGAGATTGTGAGGATGGAATTAGGCAGACTTTCTGATAATCTAATAAGAGTTGTTTTATTTTCACTTATTTTTACTTTCAGTGAAGAAGTACCCATTTAGAAACCAGTTCCATATTTTTCTGAAGGCCATTTTTATTTTTAATGATCCTTGGTCATAATATAGAGCTAGTGGTATGGAAAAGGTATCACATAAATATTTAGAGCTGATTTTTCGCTTACTGTATTTTTTATATTCTTAGAAGAATATATTTGACACTTTAATAAATCAGTATTTTCTCTCTCACAGCACATCCGTGTTGGATGGGAGCTCCTACTTACCACCATTGCTCGAACTATCAATGAGGTTGAGACTCAGATCCTCACAAGAGATGCCAAGGGTATCACCCAGGAACAAATGAATGACTTCAGAGCATCATTCAATCATTTTGACAGGGTACAGTACTCCGGCTTTTTCCTCAACTAGCAATATTTATTGTTCCCCGAAGCAAGTTTCTTTTCATTTCAAATGTAGGCCTTTTAGAAAACTGCAAAAGCAGTAGTAACGGGTTCATTTTAAAACAGCAAAAAAGATTTACAAAAAAGAATTTACAGCCTTATGAAATGACAGCATTGTACAGATTCGTTAAAGATTAATTTTACTCTTTAAATGTAATGCACAATTATAGTTCTACTAATATGGTTGAGTATTTGTTCGAATAACAGGCAGAACTGGATAAATCTGTGTTTTGGAAAATAACATGCCCCTTTATTTTAAGGCAGGGCAGCATGTTCTATGTACTTGCCAGTGGCTTCCATCTCATTAAATTTAGCTGTATTCTGGATTACAGGGGGTTTTGTCCCCCTAGAAATAGATTTGTGGTGAATATAGTTGGAGCACCGATAGCTGTCAAGGAAAATCCTCTATTTTTCTGGCTGTATGTGGGAAATAAGATGCTGTTTTTTTCAGTAACCTAGTCACGGATGAATAAAAAGTAGGAATGAAAACACTGTCGTGAAGAAACTTAACTCACTCCTTCTGTGAGTTATGCAGTATTCATGGATAGAGGGTTAAAAAGATAGCTAGTAATAGGCGCAATAGCAAAATACCTGCAGACGGGGATCTCACATTCCCAACTGGAGAACAATCCGTACATGAGTTAGCTCTGCTGGCTCTGTGCTCACATGAACCCACCTTCAAACCCAAGTTCACATCTCAAATACCAGAAAAAGATTACCATAATGCAGCACCAGGCCTTTGTCTTTTTCCTGGTACAGATTCCTGCAGTTAGCAGACTCGGCTTAACCCCTGACTTATATTTTGTTATCACATGAATCGGCTCCTTCAAATTATTTCAGGCTATAGCGAAATGCCGCTTTCTTTTCACTGACATCCTGTTTGTCCAGCTCTGCTCGAAATGGTTACCCGTACCTGGACTTATACTTGATGTGCATTGGGATGCTGACAGTCATAGTTTGCTAAATATTCTTTAGAATATCCTTAATTGTTTAGAAAAAAAAAAAGCAGAATTGCCAAACCTCTGCTTTCTGAAGAAAAACACAAGCATAGGAAAGGTTAGCTACACAGGAACCAGGAACAGATTTTATGGAAAATCCTAATGTGATTCTAGTGCAGCGTAATTCCTTTTTGTACTTTCTAAGGAAACAGAAGATAACATCACAGAAGCAGATAAATTTCCTGGGGTGGAAGGAAGTAGCATACTAAATGGCTTTCCCACTCCACTGGAGCAGATAACTGAGCAATTAGAGCTATTAAAAGAAGACAGAGTACCAGGCCTGGATAACTTACACGCCAGTATTTGAGAGACCCTGTTAAGGGAAACCAGGGACTTTGCACAAGGATTTGACAGCTCCCTAAAGATAAGGAAACAAGGTGACTGAATCCTAGTATATCTTACACTAGATGGCCATTCCTAGCATCCCTGTATCTTTGTCGTTCACAGGTGAGTTCTCTGCCACGCTCACGGCAAGGTTGGTTCAGTGGCTGAGGAGATATTACGGGCATCTTTTGGTGCCTCAGAAGGTCTTGAAGGGAGAAGCTAAATCCTACACCGACCAGCCCTATTGTTATGGATCCTTAGGCTTTGCAGAGATAGTTAGACTTTGAGATACCAAAGGATGCAACAGAGGAAGGCTTTAGGAAAGGCTATATGGCCTGGAAGAGGGTGCTGGTGTCACACAGCTGCAGGCAGGTTGGAGATGGGCTGTGACAATAATGTGCAACACAAAAGTGCTTCCCAGCTCCTAGATCCTTGCCTGTCCCTGGCAGTCTCCTTTCTTCAGGCTGTCACGAGTCACGGCTTCAGTTCCTTCTGCCCTTGCTTCTGCTGCGGGAAGCCTGAGCGGCCAGGTCAGGAGTGGAAGGAGATAGATGCTTCATCGGTTTCTATGGCCTCAACAGCCTGGACCTGGACTGCAAGTTTAGCTGCAGACCTCACCTTCCCCCCAACAGATATAACCCAAAGGCTTTAAAACAGAGGCCTGGAAGGATCACGTTAAGGGAAGGACCGTTTTGCGTACACCCCCTTTAGTCTACTCCTTCCCTTAGTGTCAGCCGTGGGAAATTGGTCTAGGAGGACTTTTGCACTGACACGGCGCAACGATTACGTGCTTAGTAGCGTAATGCGAGTTAAAAAAAGGAAGGAGGTAAGATCTAAAACCACTCGGCCATCAAGCCAGGCTTTCTGCAGAGGACAGATAGTAGAAACACTGATAAAAGAGAAGCTTATACTGATTAAATTACACTGTAATTTAATGGGCAGATGCAACTCAATCTACACGGGCTAGAAGGAGACACTGAACAAACATGTTTGAGAGAGGCAAGCTTGTTTTTCATTTTTATATCCTTCCTATGTCCTTGCACACTCAAATATTTAATGTTGGTGAATAAAGGAAAGCCAGGGTACTTCAGAGTTACTTCAGGGTACACAAAATAATGAAGACTCTAAACTTGAAATTTAGATAGAGAAGGCAGTAGTAGATTCTTTTATGGTCTTGATTACTTTAAATAGAAATTAAGATGAAACTGGATCATCTGAATGTAAGCACTAACATGAAAAATACTGACTTCTCCACGTCAGATGGACTTAGCAGTATAGGTAGTAATGTGGTTGTGCTTAGCAACATTTCTGAATGCCTGACATAGTTTAAAAAAACACACTGAAAGAATTGGACTGCTGTTCACAATGATGAATAGCCAGAAAATATCCCCAAAATTAATACTGTCCTTGACGAGTGGGCTTTAAATACCTGAGCACAACAGAATCATTTATGCATGCTATAGCTCTGACTTCAGTGGCATTTCTCCAATTTAAGACATATCTTAATGTTTGACTCTTGGTGTGTGTTGAGGATGTCAGCAAAATACTAATATGCAGAGTAGCTCCCTTTCCCATTTTAAAGGATGTTTTTTGGTACCCATAAACCTAACAACTTTTTGTAGAGTGCTTCTAGAAACAACTTCATTTGCTTATAAATCTGAGGAAAGAAAACCTATCTGCTTCCCCAGGAAGCATATATAAAAAAAGATAAAAATCTTATGGTTCATAATCCATTATGGGGCTTAATTCTGCAGTTGTTAATCCTTTGAAAGAGGGCTAAATAATTGGGTGAGTTGTTCTAGATGGCTTCTACATCTTGAATATTCGAAAGAAAACTATTTGGTATTTTACAAGGGCGGTTTTTTGGGCAGGGGACTACATGCCCCTGGTTCTCAAACTGCAGTCAGTAAGCGGGCATCACATGTAGAAGAATTACCAGGGCAGGAAGAGTTGTGGTTCTTTCAGTGCGTCCCCCAGCAGAGCTGTGCTAGCCCAGAAAGTGTTACAAGTCAGCCTTGTCAAAGGCAGGTGGTAAATCCGCTCTCTCCCCAGGGACAAGGGGCAGCTCTCTCGGTTCTTGTGTTTCCAACATGCTGGTAACCCGGAGCTTACTCCTGAGGAGGAGGATGCTCACCTGTGTTTCCAACATGCTGGTACCCCAGAGCTTACTCCTGAGGAGGAGGATGCTCACCCACTACTCCTTGCTGGAGGCTGTGCCTGAAGGCACAGTCTAGTTCTAGGTATAAATATAAATCTTTAGCAACGCTGGAATATTTCCTTTTGTAATGTGAATGCAGAGAGGGGAAAAAAGAGAAAGTGGGACACACTATCTGAATCACAGATGCAGTTTAGAAGGGTTCAGAATGGTGCATAGCTGAATTACGGTATGCAGACAAATTGGGACACCAGCACAGGTATGTTGTCAGTCACTGGGTTGAAGTCTTTTTATGCAGGGATTCCTTTTTCAGATTCAGTGTATTTAGTAAATTCTAAATAAGATTGTGAAGTATGTGATAAAATATCGGCAGCTGCTCTGCATGTAATATCCTAATGGCTGTTAACATATTCTACTATTGATTTTTGCACAAACTACAGGTTTTAAGTAGGAGCTCTGCACGCAGAACAGTAGCATCATGCCACCCTATATTTTAGTAACAGAGAAAAAACAGCTCCCTATTAAAGGAACCACACAATCAGGCTTATGCAGGTCAATTAACATTCAGGAAACCGAAGGGCGTATTTAAGAATGGATTACTTTGACTCAGAAGCTCACTTGCTTTATGAGGCCACATATAAATCACTAAGGGGAAGGAGAAGGTTTTTGGGGACTAATAATGAAACATGGAGGGGGATTTCAGTGTCTTAGTTTGTATTGGCAAGAAAAGATGAACAAGGCAAAGTTTTTAAAAAACTAATTTCAGTCCTTAATCTTGGTCTGCAAACAATAAAAATTAATATAGAGAACCGATTCCCCATGAGAAAGCCCTTGCGTGGGCTTGACGTATGCATTAATTGCAAAATACCATTGTAACCCATGAAACTCTGATATACAGCAAAGGCAAAGATGCTTTTTTAGGCCATATATGCTGCAGATTAAAAAAACTTGCTACGAGAATGTAAGAACCTGCTATAGCGTGTGGGAAAGCTACTTGGACCCTCGCTGGGGAGTCCCACTTAGCCAGATGATGGTTGTGAGCTCCAGCAGAACCATTGGGCTCCTCTCCTACAGAAAATGGTTTCTTGGTAGATGTGCTGGCCTCTCTCGCTCCCGTCTGCCCTTTGCTACCTGTTACACCGCTACCGCTGCCACGTGCGCCTGGTTCATCCACATACCGACCACCCACCCCCCGGGGTAGTCACGTAGCTAATAGTCCTCCGCAACACCTGGTAGAAGAGGTGGAGGGACAGGATTTGGCTCTTAGCTCCTATTTTTATATCATTTTGTTTGCAGGCAGCCAGTAATACCTTCAGCTTTAGAAATAAGGTAAAATGAGCTGACTTCACTCCTGGTATGATCTGCCATATGATGGTTTTTGAGAGTTTCAAGGTTGCCTAGATTAATGTTTTCAGAATGATAAAATAAACCATTTTGAATGCTTTATAGCAGGAATTATCCTATAAAATGGAAATATTAAAGGAAAAAAACTTCATTGTGATGATGGCTTTTAACTAAATGTTGCACCAGCTTTGCAGCTTTGCTTTATCTCTCGTCACTGACTTCCCGCTGCTGTTTTTCGTCTTCCCTTTATGCAGCTGGTGGAGGTTGATGCAGAGGGAGTCAATATAAATATGTCAAAAATGCATGACATTATGAACTTAATAAAGTACCACTTTATCCTATTATTATATTAAATAAACCCAGTGCATTTGTTAAAGCTCCTATAATTTTAGTTATGCATAACTATATAGAAATGTTCAAAAATAAATTATTCATCTAGCAGGCAAATATGTAGCAGACAGAAAACCTTGGATCTTCTCCAAACTGTCAGTCTGTAAAATCAATAAGGGTAATAATTTTTCATCTTAGAACATCTCTTTAATTGTATGCATGTTAACTCAATCTGAAGTATGCCTCTTACAGGACACATTTTGTATGAATAGGAAGAAAAAGACAAGCCAGGCTGTTTTTAAGAAGTTAATGTGAATTTCTTGACCTGCAAAATCAAAAAAAAACCCATTGGTTCAAAACAATGATCCGGTTTGATGTGGTATTACCAGGAGACATTTAACCTGGAATTCAATGGGGCTTTTTTTAAAGTCAGTTTTCAAAGCAAAACCTTACTGTATAGATTATTAAAGAAAACAGATAACTGAAAATAAGTTATGTCAGTTATAAATTTGGTTTGGATCTAGACAAGAAATCAACTGTTTTGTACTTCTGCTCTCTTTCGAGATCTGCATATGCAGTGGTGAAGTAATATTATCAGATCAAGAGTGAGGTAGCAGTAATTGAGTGGGGGGAAAAAGTTTTACCCAGGTTCAGGGATCTTTTTATTGCATCTCACGTACACTGTGTGACAACAGAAAATGAAGGAAGCAAGTGGCAGTTCAGTAGAATAAAAACTGCCTTATCAGCAAACGTCTTAGAAAAGCACCTGTAGAGAAAGCACGGTTTTAACTCTGTAGTTGATGTAAGGACCCTCTTCCACTAAGAAAAAACCTAAAGCATGAAACTGCAGAAGTTGTATGCTTTTTAGGTAGTTCATTGCAATATGTTGACCTTATGTTTCCATGAACTTCTGTAAAAACATGGTTATTGATACAGGAGTAGAATGTTCTTTACTAACCGACTAACCTGATCTGTGATTTTTCTTTCTTTCCTTTCACCTTCCTAAATGCATGACCTGGGCTGGGATGCTAGGATGAATCTGACAGTCTACATTCTGATGAATTTAAAGCCTGCCTCATCAGTCTAGGACAGGTTGGAAATGACCTGCAGGTAGAGGAAACTGCTATCGTTCTCTTTTCAGCTAGGCCAATGTAATAATAGCGAAAGAGATTGTGGGTTTAAACTCCAATGTATTGGTCAGAACGCTTTGAAAAGACCCTGCCTCTGGGAAGACAACTGGATTAGATGGACTGTCAGCATCACCTGGAGCCATATTTTTCTATGCATTTTTCAAAGATTTTTCAGGTTGTTTCTTTTCCTCAGTTTGAGATGTTTTATTTGGATTCTACTAGATAACCATGGGGAGCTCCTATGCTTCTCGCACTCAGACTTTTGCTAATTTTCCTTTCCTCGGACTCAATACAAGCTCACTACTGCTCTCTCCTGATCTAGAATGACACAATCCTCTCCAAACCGCTACACTGCATCACAACACAGAGGAAATGTTTATTTACCTTCTTACTATCAGGCCACTTAATGTTTACTCAGCTTGGAGTCAGGAATGATATTGCCTGGAAAATGAGCAATCTCCTTTTACACAAGGTCTTCAACTGACCTCCTCCTAAGTCTTGCAAGTCTCACCCTTTAAGCCTCTCTGCTGTAGTCTGGGTCTTGAGAGCCTGCAGTCAGAAGGCAAATCCCTGTCCTTCTTTCCCGTATGTCAGCAGCCAGCTCTCTGAGGGCACCTGCCTTAGCCTTGGAGTGGGGTATGTGAAAGAGTCAGCGATATGCTATTGATTTAACTGTACTTTGGGTCACTACAACGTCCCATGCAGAACCTTTCAAAGACATTTCACATCAGGGAGGCAGCTTGAGCATCTCCTGAGTTTGACTAGTTTAGTAACAAACTTTTCTCCTTGCCCTTCTCTTTGTCTTCTCTGGTTGTGTTCTCTGTGTTTTCGTCTCATTCACCTCCTCTTCTCCCTTATCTCTGCCCTGACCTTTCCTGATGTCACTTCGTGTGGTGAAAATGTCTGTTTCCTGTGTGTAAAATGTTAGTTACTTCTTCCTCCCTTAAAACTGATGATGATTCTGGTGACCTGCTTGGGCAATATCAATGAATATTGTTCATACACTGGATCCAATATACCGATGGTCTGAACTCGTCATCTCTCTGGAAATTACCTTGGATTCTTCAAACCTTCCCTTCTATATTCCTGGCGTTGGTTTGGTCAATAGAGGAAGAATGGATTGATGGACCATGATGATTTCAGAGCTTGCTTAATTTCAATGGGTTATGATTTGGTATGGATTTTATGAAACAATGGCAACCGATTCTGCTTACAGCTTGTAACGTTAACAGCAGCAACACTAAAGCTTATTTGAATTGACAGAATACTAATAATTTACACTAGAGATACTAGTTTCTTGTTTCTTTGCTTTTTCTCTGTTTTCAAATGGTTAAAAAGGAAATTAACAGTAAAACTAGACACTTGAAAACCAATATTCTATGGTCTGCTGCATTGCCCTTTGAATTAAGGAAACTTTAAAAGTTGAAATTAACATTTATTAAATTAATTTTTTTTTTCTTTCTCCTTTTTTATCTGCATGAGGAAGAATGAGTTTGATACTGCTTAATTCTCATAAACTAGCTTTGGGGATTGTGTTTTCTTTCGTTCACTTATTTATTCTAAAAATTGCCCCCCCAAATTCACCCTTCTTAGTGGAAAAAAGGATTAGCCTTAGATGAACTGTCCCATATTTGGCATGGAATTTTCAGAATTGTTTCCCTTATTTCTTAGTTCAGTGGATTTGCAAGTCCACTGCTTCTTGGGCTATTGTTTCACCTCCCGGTGCGGTACCTAAATTACAGTGGTTTTAGGATGGGGTGAAAAATGAAGTGCTAAGTTAAAACAAGTTAAACAGGCATTGAGGGAGGGTGGGAGGGGGGAGAAGTCACAGAAAGTGAATCGAAAGGTGCATACCGTGTATTTAGGGCAGAGAATACATTTTTTCAAAAGCACCGAGTCCTTTTTACAAAAGAAGGGTGGGCATTTACGATCCCAGATTTCATTGACTCTGACATTTATGTTGCTACGTCAGGAAGATGCTTTAAAGACTTTGTAACCCCAGGTCCCTACTGGTGCACGAGACACAGGGGCTGTTGGCCATTGGTATTACGGTGACTGTTTTTCTTTGCTTTGGATCCCGTGAAAGGGTGAAGCTGAGTTTGCCCGAATCATGTCTCTGGTTGACCCAAATGGGCAAGGAACTGTCACTTTCCAGTCCTTCATTGACTTCATGACCAGAGAAACGGCAGACACAGACACGGCCGAGCAAGTGATAGCTTCCTTCAGAATCCTGGCTTCAGATAAGGTCAGTCATCATGCTGCTGGCTGTAAGGATTCAGTAGCTCTCCGATTTAGCCCTTCTTTGCTGAAAGTCTCATACAAGCCTTTTAGTAATAGCAAAGCTTTGTTTTCGGTTTGTAAGACTTCAGAGAAAGCGTTTGCCTTTTCTGCTTGTTTGGAACCAAGACTCTTAGCTGAAATGGGTGCAGAATTCAAAGCTTGGTCTGTATACCCCCATATCACAAAGAGCCAACATAAAATCAGACATCTTAGATGAGACTTAGTTTGTCTGCGTAATGGATATAGTGTACATCAGGTTATTTCCAAGCAGCAGCCTTGATCAGAGGGGATCTCATTTTGCCTCTCACGCTGCTGTTGTCCAGGTGTTTCAATGCAGAGTTTGGCCCTCTGGAACATGACCTGGGTCAGTGGCACAAGACTACACCTAGTTGTGAGCTGTGTTGTGACCTGACAGCTGATTCACAGGGCGATGCAATGTGGTGCACCTCTGTCCTAGGAGGAGGAGGAGGCCTCCTCTAGTTACTGGGTTCATGGAGGAAGCTCTCGAATTTGGCGTAGTTTCCTCCCCACAGCCAGATCCACTGGTGAGCGACGAGTGTAGGAAGGTAAAAGGGAGGATAATGGCAACACAGGAGGAGTCAGGGCCATAAACGGTGCTGCTGGGAAACCAGCCCTGTGCTGTGGGGAAAGGAGAGGCCACAGCAGCAGCAGTGTAGGTCTATTTGCCCAAGCTCGCTCTATTGATTTTCTCATTCTGGCTGTCTGTATTGATTTTGTGATCTCAGTTACTGTGGACCACAGTTTGAATTCCAGACCTGTTCGTGGTAGGAATTCATGTGGAAGATGATAGCGAAGGTCTCGGGGGGGGAAAAAATGGTTTTCATTACATTGCTGTTTTAAATAATGTCGAGTCTGTTAACAGAGGGTATCCTTCATATCATAAATGCAAACCAGTAAGAGCAATAACGCATCTTTCATTACAAATACATGAGGACCTTGAAACAAAGAGGATCTAACTGAAAATGTGCCTGTCCTGTCCCTGCAGAAGGGGCAGCAGCGCACTTCAGAGATACTGAGTCGCTATCCACGAGCATGGATATCAGGACGCATATCTACCCGTGGCTGCACAGCGCTCGGTAGCTAACATACACGGTCACGTATCCTGAGAGTGGATTTTGAGCTCATCGGTTTGTGGGTGGGATTGTCCCCTTCAACTCATCATTAGGGATGGAATTTACCCAGGAAAATATTTGGTCTTAGAAAAATAGGCAGGATGTCTGAGTTTATCAGTCACAGCTACAGAAAATAAATATATTTTGTGTCTTGGAAGAATGCGTACTGAATTTGTCAATCCTTTCCCTCCTCGCAGCCTTATATCCTGGCAGATGAGTTACGTCGAGAGCTGCCTCCAGAGCAGGCTCAGTACTGCATCAAGAGAATGCCGCCGTACACCGGCCCAGGTTCCGTTCCTGGGGCTCTGGATTACACCTCTTTCTCGTCAGCGCTGTATGGAGAGAGCGACCTCTGATTTCGTAATTGTCCGTATTCGTGGTAGACACTAAAAATACCCACCTTATTGCCCAGATTGCTTCTCAAAAGCTTTGACAAGCTGATTTAAAAACAAGTTTTACAAATACAGTAGGTACCGTCAGTGTAAAGTGCTAGTAACTAAAGTAACTAATGTATATTAAAGTGTGCGGCACGCTAGATTTCTGCATTGTTGGTTTTAGGTTGTCTGTCCTATACAATGCTAGAAAATATATTAAAAAAAAATCGCAAGATAGTTCCAAAGTTAATATCCACTCAGAAAATAGAATGTAAAACCTAAGAACATTGAAACTCACAAAACATTTCTCCATTTTCAAAATGTTTCTATGCCATATGTGCTGCTTTTATGATGTTCACAAAACTATGTTAGAAGTCATGCTTTTTTCTTTTGTAAAGCAATATTATTTTCCTCTAATGATTTCTGATTTTGTATGCTTCTACTGGTGGAATTTAATAAAATACTAAAACGCAGTTTTTCAGGGAAGAAATATGTCAACCAAGTAAACTACTTAGTTACAAAAATAAGCCAGAATGCTATGCTTTTGTCTCTTAAAGATAGTTTTATCTTACCACAAAGAGTTGTAATATAGGGGGGAAAAGCTGAAAAGCTGATTAAATTGCAGGTTGAGAGTTCTGTAAGCTGTACTTTTCTTTTAGGCCTTTAAGTTTTACAGCTGAGAGAGTACAACTTTTATAATCAGAAATAATAAGGAAGCTAATTTCATGTGAGCTGTTTTGTTTTGAAACCCTCATTCTTGTCTGCGTCGGACAGTCTTTGTTTCCCAGTATAAGCAAGCCAGTCCCTTGTTGTATTAGCGGCAACATTCATCTCTATCCTGCATACCGCAAAACCCCATCTGAGCAAATGTAGCGTGGTTGTCTTGCAGCTTTAACTGTTCACTGCTCAAATTTCAGGTTGTCTTGACTTCTGCTGGGTCTCAGGCAGTTCTGTCTGTATTACACTCCTGTGCGCTAGTTGTTTACTGTTTTGGGGTTTTTTTTCCATCTTGAGAAACGATAGAGAAGTAAAAGCGGTAACTTTTTTACTTGAAGCCTACCGACACTGAGGAAATGCAATGTAATCAAACCAACCAAACCATTTACAAATGGTGAAGTGAGCTGTGCAGCCCAGTGCTATTAAAGCAATGATGTGCCTATTAAATAAAGTCTGCTTTTCAAAACCTTATGTGACTCTGTCATTGGCAATCGTCTAGTGGTTCCCTCTAAGAACTGGAAAGGTTTCTCAACATTAAAGGAGGTTTCAGTCTGCTAAAAGTAAAAGTTCAAAAGAGTATGTCCTGCATTTCTGTACACTGTGTGTGCATGAACAACAGTTGGTACGTGCTGGAGGGACAGGTATGGCTTCATGAAGTGCGATGGAGCTCAGAATGAGTGGGACAGAGTTGCCGTGTGAGTCACCTGAGCCCAGATGTCCACAGCTTGTCAGACTCCCTCCTTACCTTGATTTCCGTGAGACTCGGGCACTAAGGCTTTTGAAGATGTTGACCTTAACTTTTCTGTATTTCTCTCTCTCCTCGTGTGCAAGCAAGCAGATGTTAAGTATGCAGTGATGCTTTTGCTGGCCTTTGCTTTGAAATCCATAAATGGGAAGCGTTAAAAATCTGTCTATGATTTCAATCCTAAAGCAGGCATCCTGCAGGCAAGGTGCGTGTGGTGGGAGCAATTTCAGAATAATCCCAGAGGAGACGGGCAACGACCAGACACCTCCTCCTCCTCCTCCACCTTGCGTGCAAAGGGCAGCGGAGGACTTAAGAGAGATACTAGGGCTGGAATCGCATCCCCAGAAGCTGCTGCTGCCACTGCTGACACCGGCACGGTGCGGTGCCATCTCTTTTTGGGATGACAAAAAATTACAAAAAGAGTACAAAAAGCTCTTCCTTAAAGCAATGGCATTTCCAGCTAAATGACTGCTGGGCAGGCTGAATCCTATTAAAAAAAATAAAGCTGTCTCTCTCTCATTGTCACAGTTTAATACAACTGGAAGAATACAACACTGAGCTTCCAAACATGGCACAAAGGCAAAATCTCAGTGTTACAGGCAGGATTATGCTAAAAATTGGCACAGAGACAGTTCATATCTGACACCTCTATCGGGCGTATATTCATGTTCTCTACCCGCTAATTTTTATCTTGTGATATTCTTCCTATTTTTAATAGTATGAAAGAGACTTCTAAACTCCTCCTTTAGCTAAATGTTCTGTTGACCAAAGCATGTGAGAGAGAACGTTAGCAGCAGCAAGAGAAAAAGACTTTTGCAAAGTAATTTTTTCATTCCCATATCAAGTTTCTAATTTCCAGAGTAGAGCAAACAGAAGCAGTGGCAGAGAGCTGCAGGGATTAATTACCCATCCGTACTTGCCTAAAAATGTTATACCATATTTATTACTTTAATGTGTCTTTCACGTAAAAAAAAGATGTATCATAAAGTTATTTCTCCCAGCATCAATTATTTTTAAGGCTAACTAGATTAAATAAATAAGCTGTGTTATTTTACCCTGAGGAGGATGAAATTCAAGGGTCTTTAAAATATTCTGTGGTCAAGTTCCCGCGCTATGGGTTTAACAGAGAAACTGCCTTTTCCTCTAAGGCTCCGTTTTTAGTAGACAGCATTTGTGTTGGTTTTTTTCCTGTAGAATCCCTGTTCGCCCTGGGAATCAATGGAGTGGCGTTTTCTGTCTACGCCATTCTGGCAGCAAACTAGCTGTCCTACAACAAAAGCAGCAGGGTGACTGAGCCCAAGGTAGTGAATGCACCGACCACGGGGGCCACATCAAGGCTCAAGAGGTGGAGGTACAGCATTATGTTGAGGATCATGTGAGTGAAGGTTATAGAATAAATTAAAATCCCCCAAAGTCAGTAAGGTTTTAAGTCACTTTAATGACCGTAATACAGATGTCTTCTGTGACTTTCCATGGACACAACAGTTCTTTGAGAAGCTTCCTGCCAAGATAATCTTAATTTTGCAGTAATCATTTTCAGTCCGTGATCTTCAGAAAGGTGCTGCTGCGGGCAGAAAGCCGTTGTCAGCTCTGTGCTACTCTTGTGCCTCCTTCCTTCATTTATAGAGTTTCCAGGCTGCTTTTCTTACCTAGTGGCCGCAAAAGGCTTGGGTCAGAGCTGCTCCTAGCAGTTTGTATTTTCATCAGAACAGCCTGTTGTTCAGTTTTCCCGCTTCTTGGAGGAGAACATGCTCTTCTATTCAGGTTGTTCCTGGTGTCCGGAGAGGTTATCCCAGACACAAGTGTTCTTAATGAAGGAGGACAATAGTTCCTGTTAGCAGCTGGATTTGGATGGTAAGCAGTTTCCTTTTTTGCCTTAAATGGCTCGTGGTTGAGAGTAATTCTGTAAGAAAGTAATTGTTTGATCATTGCTACTGTATGAACAGGCCCTTGGGAGCATGCGTCCAGCATTGGTAATGGTGTCAATATTTTGTGGTGGACCTCTACAAACAGTTCCAGTAATATTTAGATGAGAAAATAATACTTAGGCAAGAGATGATGCTTCTTTGAAGAACATCCATCACTTATTTTTGCCAAATCCGTGTCCTTGGTCCTCATCCTCAGTGGGACTGTGCCTCTTGGTGTCATATGGAATCCTAGGCTTTTAAGAGAGGAAACAAGCCTGAGGTCATTCTTCAAAAGAAATAAGGAACAGTGAAAGTCTGATATACACAAAGCAGGGCATAATCTGTATGAAAATTACTCAAAAAGAAGGATCAGCTCAGCCAAACAAGAAAGCATGTGCATCATTTCCCTATCTTAAGCGCAAAGTAAAAATTACTAGATCTGGCTCTCCGCTTGTGTTACACAAGAAAATGACATTAAAGCAGCTGTGAGTTCAGCACAGTGACAGCTGGCACAATATTTGGATTCCTGACTAACATATTTCTTACCAGGGCAAACTGCTCAGCGGTCTTTGAATTCTTGTATTGTGTCAGGATTCAGGTCTGAAAAATCTTCCCTACTTTTGGAGACAGAGCACCAAAGGCACTAGAGGAGTTGGTGCTGTTGTGGCAGGAACATTTCAGCACATCACACACAAAAGCATCCCGAAGGCTCTTTTCAGAATCAGAAAAACATCCCCTGAGATGCCAAAAAAGCTCAAATATGCAATACCTACTATAATTATACAGTATGATGGTTGGTAGTGTTGCTTTAACCTCACTGGTCGCTAAGGTATTTCTCTTTTGGTAAATACTAATCAGGTTTCAGCATAACTAAAATACTTGTCCATTCCCCAGGTCCCTCTGCCCCAAGTTTCACGGTTAGCAACCTGTGCGCGCACTGGCTCCTGCCTCACTCTACCTTCTGCCTGTGTTCAGAGGGCATTTTCTTTGAGGAGCCACTTCAACAGCGTAAGGGCCGCACTACAGAGAGCTGCCAGTGTGTTCTGCTGAGATTCTACTTGTTTCAGACCAAATATTTTTATATAGGAAAACTGATTGTTCCAAGCTGAAAACTCGTTCTTCTAACCAAAAATGTTTGTGTGTAGACAACAAACCTTGAGCGAGTACCAGGAACGCCACGCAGTTCGCTCATGGAGTAAGAGACCTACGTTAAACAAGAAGCCCAGTCTTTTCCGCATGTGAGCTGGACTAGGACTTCATGTTTGAAGCTTCAAAAGAAATTCCTCTGCCAATTTGCTAGGTTTTGGGACATTTCATTAGCGTTTGTAATACTGCTTTGCACACTTTTGATTATTAGCATGTTGCTTCAACTACTTGGAAGTCAAATATATTGGATGAACGTCCTGAGGGGATAAATGTCCTGAGGCTATTTTAACACCCACCTGTCCCTCATCTACTTGCTCCTGGCTGTACCGTTTCAAAACCCAGGTGTTTTATTTGGCCCCAATTCATGGAAACTTTCTTCCCTTCAAGCTACCTGTTAATGCTTGAAGTGAAAACTGCCCTGGAGCGCTGGCCTGGGGAGGAGCGGGTACCACGTGTGCTCTCCGGAGCCGGAGCTGCATCGAACACAGAGGGTCCTGTCTCAGGTTTTAGCTGGCCTGCTGGTGAGACTGAAGGAAAAGCCATGTCTGCGTAAGTTGCCAGCAAGTCTTGCCTTGATTTGGACCAAACTGTCAATATAGGCACTCCAAATTAATGTAATTAAAAAAAAAACAACCAACCACAGAAAAGCATAGAACAGCTGTATCAAACATCTTGGCCAGACTTGTATCCTGGCTCTGACAGTTACCAGTTGTAGGGACAATGGGAAAGCGTAAAAGCGAGGCAACGTGTGTGCCCAGAGGAGTCGCCGACCCACCAGTAATTTGTGGGTCAGGAACTCGTGGGACACTGCACACACCGATGCCAAAAATGAC